CATTGTGTTAAGGAATTTTAGGAACTACCTTCTCATGTTTGATGTCCTATCTAGAGTAGTAACTTATGTCTTCATTTTCTTTAATAAATTAGGGCACCTAGTGATGAATAGGCCATTGGCCCACCAAATTAAAAGGAGGGTCATGGTCCCCACACTTTTTTATAACTATTATATTTATGAGAATAAAATTAATTTAATACACTTTTGAGTTAAAAATATATTTAAAAAAAAACTTAACAATACAAGTTTAAACATTTATTTAACTACGTATCAAATGTTAAATCAGATTGTAGACACTGTAGTATAAGAGTGACTCATAAATAAATTATTGCAACTAAATTTAAAATTTTAGAAATAAACAATGATTATTCATGAGTTATAATTGAATATATAATAATGGGTGAAATATGAAGAAATAGAGTGATATGAAATTGAATGACATAAAATTATTATCTCATTATTTGAATATTTTAAAAATTAATGTAGTGAAGTGTTTACTTTATCATTTAGAAAGCAGAACGAGTAGCAAAAAGATTATCAAAATCATTTGACGAAATGATATATAAAATATTATGTTAGGTTACATTCAATTTCATTCAGTTTTAAATAATTTTAATAATAATAGCTAACATTGTTTTATTAAATTTTCCTTTCATTGTATCTATCTTCGACAATTTAAGCATAACCTAAAGCTAGACATTTAAAGTTTCCTAGTGAGTAGTGACTACTCAAAAGTGCTAAAAAGGTTGAATATGTGACTTTCATATTTAAGATGAAATAAATTAAATATTAAAACTATTTTAAAAAATGTCCCCTTATTATTTTTTAAATGCACTTTCTTTGATAGGTTGATATTTGATTGATTATGGATAAACAAGAATAACATACTTCACACAATAACCGATTAAAGTATTGAAATTAAATAGTAATGGTGAAAAGAATTGCAAACTCAATGTATCCTGATTCAATCGTCATCACATATGATTTATGTCTAATTCACAAACTTCTAAACTTTCGAATGCTTTAAAACTTTATGATTTATCCAATTTCATGAGTGTTTAATAATATTTTCAATTTTCACGTTCCACCACTCTCAAATGTGAAAAATATGGTAAAATAATAATGCAGGAATGTGCTCACATCCTCAAAGTATTGATATAGGACTTGAAACATTATAGTATATAAACTCAAATTTGCTGGATATGCGTATGAGATTTCAATGAATGTTTACGAAACTCTCTGTACTATGTAGTATATAAAAAATAGAACTCCTCGAATGCGTACAATAACCATTCAATATTGTTTCGGGCCACAAGTAACATATTTATATTGTTGGAAACGCACTACCAACAATGTATTTAACTACATTTCCATATGTATTAATTTTGTACATTACTTATGTACTCTAATATATTATTCATGTATCTTGGTAAATTTCTTGAATATCCTGATACATCCTTATGTATCTAGATTTATTATTATATAATGCATATAGTTATTGAATATTTTTTGAAAATGTGTTGCTATTAACACCAGAATAATTTCTAAACATCTTTTTATACATTTGTGGGAATTAAACACAACTTAATACACTAAGAAGCATCAAGACTTTGTGGGGGAAACAACAGGGTGATGAAGCCCGAGAAGTAACAATAAATGAAGCTTAAAACTTGGAGGATCATGTTGAGGACACTTACTCAAGCCCAAAGGTTAGAATGCCTAAAAGGAACAAGGTTCAGCCCAAGTGGATGACAGATTATGTGTTAACTAAATAGCTGACACACGAAATGGGTAGGAAGGGTGTTGATGGAGAGTTGGTGAGTGGGGGAAAATCTGTTAAAGGTAGTGCTGTGAGGCATGTTCTTCTAAGCATTTTAATGTCAATTTCGCTTCTCTGTTAGTGGGTGTTGTTGGTTTTGTATAAAATGTTGGTTCCATTTTCCTAAATGGCAGGGAGACGTTTGTCAGCAACCTTTGGTTGAAGGAGGAGCCTACCCTTGAAGAAAGGCATTTTTTAGTGTTCTTTTTTTTCCTTCTCTTTCATCCCTGTTTCTATCAATTAGTACTTTCATTGAGAGTTTATTTTCTTTCTTTCACCATGCTTTCATTCTTGATCTCAACCTCCATCAACAACGCTCACCAGCAATCATTTCAATCTATTTTTGCGGAGATGAAATCTGGTTTTGCAACGATAAGAGCCACATGTGAGAGTGATATGTTGTTTTTTAAATCAAGCTCTTCAGTTTCATCTAGAGGTGTTGTTGACCTTGCTTCAGTTGTTAGGAAGATGGCTTCTTAGGATTCTGGTATTTGGCAGAATGAAAAAGATGGTTGTGGTGATGACGTTATTGGACAGGCCCAACAATTCATTCAAGCTCAAAGTAAGGTTAACATCATCTTACGGACTAGGTTCATGGCTCTAATTGTGCACATTGTGATGCTTTGGCTCTTAATTTATGTATTAGATTTGGCTTAACTGATGCAACATTGGCATTTGATATCACGAGTTGGGGAATTTTTGTTGTGGGTTAGTGTGAGGATGGATGGAATGGATTAACATGGTTGCTTGTTATTTTAGTTGTTGCCTCATCAGATGAACCTACTTAGGAGCTTGCCTTAAGCCAATGGGATGGTTTATACCTGGAAGATTCATCCTGTGAATATTTGACTGATGTTTGCATGCATATCCACAATTACACCTCGAGGAAAAGGTATTTGTGAAATAGGAAGGTGATGATAGGCATCAGGACTTTATGGGGCAACAACATGAAGCACAAGAAATAACAGCAGATGAAGCCCAAAAATTGGAGGATCATGTTGAGGACACTTACCCGAGCCCAAAGGTTAGAAGGCCCAAAAGGAACAAGGTTCAGCTCAAGTGGATGGTAGATTATGTGTTAACTAAGTAGTTGACGGATGAAATGGGTAAGAAAGGTGTTAATGGAGAGTTGGTGTGTGTGGAAAATCTGTTAAGGATAATGCTGTGAGGCATGTTCTTCTAAGCGTTTTAGTGTCATTTTTGCTTTTCTGTTAGGGGGTGTTGTGGTTTTTGTATAAAACGTTGGTTCTATTTTCCTAAATGACAGAGGGACGTTTATAAACAACTTTTGGTTAAATGAGGAGCCTACCCTCGAAGAGAGGCATTTTTTAGTGTTCTTTGATTTTTTTTTTGCTCTTTCATCGTTGTTCCTATCATACACCGAAATGATTTCTAACATTTTTGGAACACGTAATTGAATCTATGAAAATAGTGTATGATGTTGAAACCCTTAAAAATATTTTCATGTATCTCGAAATAATTTATGAAAATGACGCAAAATAGAGCTTGCATTTTAAAATTCATTAAGTGTTTGTGCTTTTATGAGAATGGGTAAGATATAGTATTACTGAACCATTGTGAATTTTAAAATAGATTCATGTTAGTCATTTTGAGAGACTAATGTGAGTCTTCTTTGAATTTAAAAGGGACCACGAGTCAACTTTTTTATTCTTAAAGTATTAAATTGAGTACCGTGATTTTTTTGTTAAGAACACAAAATATACTTTACTCTTTTCCCCCGCAAAAAATTGTATTTGCACTTGCACACAATTACCTTTGAGTCATCGTCGTCAGGGATGTTCAAAATATCAAAAAAAAAAATGAATTGTTTTAAGAACCACATTTAACTGAATCAAAAAAACTGGTTTTTTAAAACAGTTCTTGAACTTGAATTGGTTTTAACATTTAAAAAAAATTCAATTATGATCCAATTTAAAACTTGTTTGTAACCGGTTCGAACCGAACCACTCACGCATTATATCACAGTATCTTAGTAAATCAGTTTTTCGCTGCTCTTCAATCTGCACTATGAATAAGCCAACAAACAAAGACTTCCAAGTAAGAATTTTTTTAATGAAAACCTTAATCATGAAAACAAATATTAATATCTCAGTAAATCAGTTTTTCACTCTCTCTCTCTTCTTCCATGAAATCTTCCAAAATGGTTGGGTTTGGTTATGTAAAAAATCCAGTTCGGTTCGACCCACGCCTATCCCGAATCATCGTCGATCGTTATTTTGCTCTTCTAATCTTTTCTTGTTACTTGTAATCTTTATCACAATTCATATTTTTCAAAATAACCATATAATATTATCTCAATAACTCGTAACAAAATTAAATGAATAAAAATGAAAAACCTGTCGCCGTGCATGTCCATTTACTAATATAATATAATATATTTGTTACAAATAGCATTGTTTTATTAAATATACGGATTTAAAATTTCGATGATCATTTTTGTTAAATAACATATTTTTCGAATACACACTTTAATAAAAATTGAAATGATTTTTGAAAAATTGAAATAAAAACAAGAGTAAACATCATTTTTAGTCCCTGACAATATTTACGAAGTCCTTTTCAGTCTCTGACAATATTTACGAAGTCCTTTTCAATCCCTGTCAATAAAAAAGGACCAAATTGGTCTCTGAAAGTACAAGAAAAGGGTCACTCTACATATTTGGGAATTGACATAAGGACTAACATGGCCCTTTTTTTTGTAACTTCAGGGACCAATTTGGTCCTTTTTTATTGTCAAAGACTAAAAAAGACTTCGTAAATATTGACAGGGACTAAAAAAGATGTTTACTCTAAAACCAATTTGGTTTCAAAGCTAAACCGCGCTAGATGAAGCGGAAATGACCATTTGAGCGCGCACCGAAAACTGAAAAGTTTAAATTTTAAATTAAAATTTAATTAACCTAGAGTCATTAATTCCACTACCTACCAGAAGCGATTCCATTCAACTTGCAAAGCAATCGCCAGCTCATCAATCCCCGCATCCAAGACGAGTCAAAGGAAGATCTTGACCGTCCATTCTCGCGCTCTTTCTAGGAATATAATTTAACGGACAAAGAAATTCCACGTCATCGATCCGCGTGAAACCTCATTAGCCAATGAGAACGCGAAAATCCTTTTATATATCAATCACCGCAAGCACCATTCGATACGCAATCCAATCTACTTCGTTTCTGCAATCTCATTCCCAATCCGAATCCCTAACGTTTTTCAGAGTTCCAAATTCCTAATGGCTCCCAAATCAGCAGCAGAGAAGAAGCCTGCGGAGAAGAAACCCGCAGAGGAGAAGAAATCCACGGTGGCGGAGAAGGCACCACCGGCTGAGAAGAAACCAAAGGCCGGCAAGAAGCTACCAAAGGAAGGTGGTGCCGCCGCCAGCGACAAGAAGAAGAAGAGAAACAAGAAGAGCGTGGAGACTTACAAGATCTACATCTTCAAGGTTCTGAAACAAGTCCACCCAGACATTGGTATCTCGAGCAAGGCCATGGGAATCATGAACAGTTTCATCAACGATATCTTCGAGAAGCTTGCTCAGGAATCTTCTAGACTCGCTCGCTACAACAAGAAGCCAACAATTACTTCAAGGGAGATCCAGACCGCGGTCAGGCTTGTGCTGCCCGGAGAATTGGCCAAGCACGCCGTGTCTGAGGGAACAAAGGCTGTAACCAAGTTTACAAGTTCTTGAACAATCTTGTGGTTTTTGTGTGGGGTTCTTGTTTGTTCCCCCAAATCTGTTTTAGGTGTCCATTAGACTTAATGACCTATGTTTAGATTTTAATTAGTGTTTTTTTTTTTTTTGGAATTTGCATCTGAAGAAATAGGGTCTGGTCGATCCTTTTGTGTATGGAAATGGTAGGATTGAGTCATTGACGATATAGGACCGTATATTGTTCGTATGTATTAGTTATTTGAATTAATAGTTTTTCTATGAACTCTGTATTTTAGTTATTTGTGAAATAATTTACTTTTGCTTCGAATGATTTTTAGCGGAATTGATGCATCGATTCGCGAAATATTATTTTTGGTAAGGAATCATATGTCTAGTCTTTTTAAAAAAAAAAAAAGCGAAGCACTGACTTGTTTCAAGTCAAGCGAAATTGGGAGTTTAGCATTGGCTAGTTACTCGTGACCTAACTGTCTAAACTTTTCAAAAGCAGATTCATCCCTAAGGTTGTAGATTCGCGTTTCGAGTACTTCGTAAGATTAAAGATTCGTTAAAGACTCAGCAGAAAAGCTATTGCTTGATGAGGCCTCACTTGCTTTAGTTTAAAGCGCTCTTTAATCTTTTTAACTGCATTGTTCTTCATGTTTTAATAAGAATTTCAAAACTAAACCATGTATAATCCCAACGAACATTGTGTTCCCAGCATATCTTCATTTTATTGCTTTTTTTTTTTGTTAATGAGAATTTTAAATACATTTTTGATTCATGAGAATTTCTAGTTTAGTAGCATGTTATGCGCTTGTACGCAGCCACGGATGTGACAAACAAATTTTACATGACAATGACGTCGCCATGTTATAGGCTGAATCTAGTGCATTCTTTCACCCCTGCTGTGCATATCACGGAAGGCCGGTTTTATGCAACCTGTAAATACCATAAGACCAGGAAAAGATAAAGATCTCTTGAATCAATCGGTTAATTTATTTATTATTTCCATAAAATCACTTGTGTATTGATATATTTGAGATGTCGAATGTCACTAGATTAACGAAAACAAGGGTTCATACATTTTCCATTATATGTGTCGATGCTTAGCTCTTAGCATGATTTTTCTATGCATTAGTGCATCCCATTCTGACTTGAATAGTAAATGTCAGACATGCTATCTACCTTTTTCACAGCTGAGGGCAAACTTAATAGGATGTAAGTTTGTTTGGACTTTGCAGATCAAGGGAATCTCTGTATTGAGTGTTGTGTAAGATATTTATACCAATTAATTTGTTCAGCGTTGGTAATTACTTATCAGTGAGAACAGATAACTAATCATTCCAATTTCCACTATCCGTGAATTCATATAACGATCAAAGTATATTAAGGCGAACAGCCGAACCGATTTTCAGTACATAATCGAGAACAGAAAATGGCGAACAAAGCACAAGTTTTAAACTGACTGCCAGTGCGGCATTCATCATTCCGCTGCTAGTAACATTCTACGGCAAAAAAAGAACAGATGAAGTAACAAATAGCAGAATCCCAAATTAAAGATATCAGGTCAGTGATTGTAGATTAATCTTTCAAGGTCGAAGAAATTCAATTCAAACCATCCACAATGAGACTATCTACAACGCCATTAAGTAAACTAGCGTTGGATGGCTAAAAGCTAAGAATATTTGTATGTTCTAAAAATAGACAAGATCAAATAATCAACGAAATAGAATGGAGAACGAAGTGATTTACTTTTAATTTCTTCACTGTATTGATAAATGACAAGTATGCCAGTTGAGGTAGAGAATATGCACAACTGATCATAGAAACCGCAATGTATGGAGCTGATTAATGCACGCAAAATTACGTAGCTCAGGCCTCAGGTAGAAGTACACAGTTAACAGTTTAGGGAACAGCAGTACTAAGTTTGGCATGTAAGCAACCACACCCCCAGCTTCCACATCCCTTTGCATCCTAATGTACCCTTCTTCACCCCACTCGGTTCTCCATGAGTTTTTAACCATGAGTAACCAACCAATACTTGGTACCATCATCACCGATACCATGATCCACAGCAAGTCAGAGCGACTGGCATCAATGCTCAAACTTTGGAACGTAGGGTGTGCCTAAGTTTAACACCTATAAATATAAAGGTGCTCATATGCATGAGATTATTTTGAGTCTTAAAATTTAAGATATAATATAATACATTCTGCATTGTCTAAGCAAATTCCAATTTATCACGGGGCGAGTATGGCTGGAGTAAAGGTAAATTTGTAAATTTCCCACCACCATTCGTTGGATATATTCAAATTATGGGAGTACCTTCCATTGTCAAACCTAGCAGGAACCTAATGGCAGCTTTTAGCCTATTCATTAAATGTATGTATTGGTGGTGGAGTTTGGATGGGAAATCCACCACACAGCCCACGTTTTCAATCCTACCAAGATGATTTACTCCTCATCTTGGAGCCCTTCCTGTGATTATGCATCCGTTGATCATAGGCTCCAAGATGAGGGGTAAACCTTAAGAGGATTGAAAGCATTGCATTGAGGTGTATTTCCCATCCAAACTCCACCGCCAAAATGAATAAGAATGGCCATAATTTTACACAATGATTATTTCCAAGAGGAAGAATATAACATGAAGCTCTAGTGGTAGGAAATCTATCTTTAATCAAGCTATAATCACAGGGTAATAAATTGGAATTTGATCAAACAATTTTATAGCTGAATGCATTATATAATATCCAAAAAATTTAAGACTTAAAAGTTAAAACCAATCTCATGCACATGAGCACCTTAATATCCGAAGGAGTTAAAGATTAAGCCCAATTGACTATCTCTCACCCTACTTTACAATCTTTGAGCCACTAACACCATCTGTTAGGAACGTACAAAATGCTCAAACTTCAATACTCAAAAGTCCATATTCTCAGTTTTTAGCGTACACAAAGCTATTATTTGTGCGCATAACTCACCCGAATGAGTCTGCCATCCAGTATCTGACAAATAATTAGGAATAAGTTTCATAACAATGTTGGGTGAAATAAAAGCAAACTTTTTAGCCAGAAAAAAAAAACCATATATTTTTAGGACAATGATATTCATATCAAACAACAAGGGAGGAAAAAAAACCTGGCCGTGCATTTCTTTGCGAGCTGTGGCTGCTGTGGTTTCAGAAGTGAACCGCACGAATCCGTATCCTTTTGATTTCCCAGTCACATGATCACATATTACTTTAACTGCAAAATAAAAAAATAATAATAATAATTAGTTGCAACATAACCAATTTGGGAATCCAAAGTAAAAGGGGGGAAAAAACGTTGATTTTTACCTTCAATGATAACACCGTGTTGCTCAAATGCATCTCTCAGAACAGTTTCATTCGTATCGTAGGAAAGCCCTTTGTCCCAGAACAAAAAATAAAGAAAAAACTAACGATTAAAATTGAAACGCGGAAATCAATTTCGGCAATGACTATTTAATCAAGAATCGAAAGATGCAATTATTATTAAAAAGTAAATGAGAAATGAAATGAGTTGGAAAATACCTGCGACGAACAATTTGGTAGATGAATGATGGCGCGCGCATAGCAATCGCGGTAAGGGAGAACTCTGAAAAAGAAGAAAAGCACTTCCATTCGCTATTGCAGTAGCTATGCGCATGACTGAACACTGTCGATTGATGTCGTAAACACGGTTAGCGTTTTCTGCATACCAGATCACAACGACAAGCCGTTTTAATACCAAGTTCGAAGCCATCCTGTTAACCACGTGACCAAACAAGGCCCATGAAGACTAAAGGGTGAAACTCAAAAGATTAAGGACCTTGGACTTGGAGTAGATTATTGGTCATAAGAGCAATGTTACACTTCACCAACCCAAAAAATATGTAATGGCTTTGTTCATTTTTAACACTTGATTTTAAGAGCAATGTTATACTGTTTGGGGGGAAAAACATATTAGTTTGGTTCATTTTTAAGACTTGATTTTAAAAGCAATGTTACACAACTAGAAAAACAAAAAATAAAATAAAATAATAATTTTTGGGTGAAATAAAATAACAGGGATGCAACAACATTTTAACAGAAATTATAGGGACTTCTTGAAATCTGTTTCGGAAAACTATTTTTTGAGTTTTACAAAGAAAAAAAAAATTAATTTGATAAGGCCTATTTTGTAAAATTAATTTCAAAAATTGTAACTTATTTTGTTTTCAGAATCAAATTTATAGAACATATTTGAGTTATTTTTGTTTTGTGTTTTGACGGTTAACTTTAAAAAAAAAAAAACACTTATTTCATTAACTATTTTACAAAAATAATTTTAAGAATAAAAAATTAGAAAAAACACAATCAAATATACTCATAATTCTCTATTTTATTATTTTAGAGGGGAGCGAGTGAGATAATATTTTTCTAATTTTAATGGATGCAACTTGATTGACTTTTCTTCTTTTACTATATCGAAGGCAGAGTTTTGATAACTTTCATTCAATTGTGATGTTAATAGCTGAAACCTTCAATTGTACCACGAGCAGTTGCCACATCTACATTTAAATGTTGTGATAAAGATATCGAGTTTCAATTCAAAAGACCAGACCAACCATTTTGAACTTCAAAGTAAAAGTGAGATAGAGAGATTTTAATCTAACCATCCAAACTTATATCAAGATAAAACCCTGACGCTCATTGAGGTGGTTCTTAGTTTGTTTTTCATTCTTGTTTTCAAATGATGTGATATTATAAAAAAATATTTTCACTTTATTTCCTATTTTCAACATCATGATATTATGTTCGTTAGGTGATTTTGGGGATACTTTTGGTTTTGATCTGCTCATTCAAGCATAAAGTTAGATTGGTATAATAATTTTTTTTCCTACACCCAATCCAAACCCGCGTAGACCTGCACATACATGAAAATTTGTTAAAATACCAAATAAGACACAAAGTCTAAACATAAGGACGTTAAAGAATAACAAAAATATGTCTTAATGTGCTACCAGACATGATGTGGTGGTATATAGGTTGGGGCCAGCTCGCACCTCCTCCAATTCTCCATCAAGTTGCGGATGAGTATCTCACAATTCTTCACGAACATCAAGATCAGTCACATTTATTGAAGCCTTACCTTTGTCTACCTCTACAATATGGTATCTAGGTTTTGGTGGTGTACTTATTTTGAGGCTAACATTGTAACAGCTCCTGGCAAGCTTTTAGTCACCTCTAACCGTCGTTATTCTAGCTTGTAGGTCTTTGAATTTAATGAGTAGATGCATAGTAGATATTGTTGCTCTTAGTTTCACTATAGATGGTCTCCCCAGGAGGATGTTGTATGTTGATGGTTTTGGCTTTGGGAATGATTCCAAAGGTAATCTGTAAGTCAATTGTTCCTTTGGCTTGTACATATTCACCATAGAATCCTAACAACCCTGTTTGGTAGGGAGTTATTTGTTCTTTTGGGATATTCATTCCTTTGAAAGATTCTTATAAGATGATGTCGGCATAACTACCATTATGAATAAATACCTTTTTTATGCGTAAGTTGGCCATGTGTGCTGATATGATCAATGGATCATCGTGATCTTGCACCATGTCATCGTAATCATCTTCATCGAAAGGTATCAAAGAGTTTTTCTTGGATGTGGTGGAAATTTTTTGTGGTTAGAGACTATCATGATGGCTTTTAGATGTCACTTTCTATGGGAGTACAATTCTCCCCCACCAGCTGCACCTCCGAAGATACTTGCCAAAATTCCTGTTGCATTTTTGGGAAGTTGTGTAGTGTTTTGTTGTGCAGTTGGATGTTGTGGTTGGCGTCTATTTTGCTGGGAAGAAGATTTGCGTTGGCCATCTCACTAGTAGTTTGTTCGTCCATAATTTCTTTTATTTTTTATAATTTATCTTAAGGGAGTTTCTATCTTGATCAAAACTTCTGTCTCGTTTTCTAAATTGTGTCTCCTTTTTGCAGTTGGCCACAAATTGTATGAGTTTTTCCTATTGGATTAACATCTTGATGGTGTTTTTTAGGTCAAAACATTATTATGTTAGATGACCATAATTAGCATGGAAATCGCAAATATATGGTTTTATCAAGGTTATCCCTGTGGCGAATTGGGGGTGGCCTAGTGATATCCATAAATTCTGCTGAAAAACTTGTTTCAGGATGCGAGATCTATAAGTATTCGATAGGGTGAACTTGTCAGACTTTTTGGAGTCCCTGCATTTTCTTTTTAATTCTTTTATGGTGTCGGCCATCTCTGGTTTTTAAACTGGCTCCTCGCGAGATCTTTGATAATCTTTTAGGTTTATGATTTTTTTTTTATCTAGCGTGCAATTCTTCAACATATTTTGGTCTTTGCTTTGCCAGGGATGTTGAGAATGGCCCATTTTGTAAGCCATCCGTGATGAGATTCAAAGAGACTTGCATATCTAAGTCTCTTACCAAAAGGGCTTCGTAAAAAAAAAATGTTTGAATAATCTTGTTATGGACCCATATAAGGGGGCCATTACGTGATAGGCCCAATAAGGGGCAATCCAAGATCTGAATCAATTGTAATCACGGATATATATCATTCAAGGATACTAATCCTAATACGACAGCATAGCAAGCAGGCATGTGCCCTTACTAGAAGCTCCAAAGGCCTATCCACACTACCCGCAGGTAACCTCTATAAATACAAGGTAAACCCTAGAGGTACGTTACGCTCTCTCTTTTACTGTTATGCTGTTACTGTGCGTGCACACACACCCCATTGGCTAACGCCATTATAGTATTATTTGCACAGTGATCTGCTTGACTCAAGGGCATCTCCTTCATAGATACATTGGAGAGGGCACTAGATCCAAGATAAACATACCAGCCTATTGGGCTGGACATTTCTGTCCCAATGACAGAACATTGGCGCCGTCTATGGGGAACATCTTCTCTGAATTTGAAGTTCCCCCAATCTGACAAAGGATGGCAATCCAAACAAGGAGCAGTAGCCAGCAGTTACCCCAAAACTAGAATCAATCGCTGGATCCAGTTATGGAAGAGGTAAGTCAGCCTCAGAACCGGCTAGGGAACGACGTGGATTATGATTACGTCCATGTTAGCGAAGATGTCTTCGACACCGCTTCATATCATGATAGGGGTCCTGATCCAATCATGGCTCCAGTGAGGAACAACCCTCCCCAGCACCCCGGGGATCTTGCTGCACGTATTGCCAATTAGCCGATCTAGGAAGCCTGTTAATGTGGTTGAACTCGACATGAGAGGAAATAATACCGAGACCCGAACCTGATGAAGAGCTATAAAACTTCACATTGGGAAAAGATCATGGTCAATTTACCCGAATTGGTAAAACCATAGATCCTCAAATTAAAGAAGAATTAGCCGATTTTCTCAAGAGCAACACGAATGTGTTTGCTTGGAAGTCGTATGAGATCCCGTGCATCGATCCCGGCTTCTGCTACCACAAGCGGGGATATGATGGCCAAACAACAAACAACGGTCAAGTATAATAAAAAAGTGAGACCAAGAATCTTCGAGAAAAATGACTTGGTACTCAGGAGAGCAGACATTGGCAATAAAAATGCCAGGGATGGAAAGCTAGCTGCAAACTGGGAAGGCCCGTACCGGGTTAAAGAGAAGCTCGGAAAGGAGCTTACGTCCTAGAAACAATAGAAGGCAAAAGAGTTAAGAGAACCTGGAATGCGGATAAGCTGAAGATATATTACAATTAAATCCGGAATCCACCTTCGCCCATTTGCAGTAGTTCTATTCAATTATATTTTCCTCTATTAGGGATTTAACTAAAGCCGAATATGCTGGCAAATTCATTTAGTTCTCAATTTGATATCAATAAATGAGAAAATTTTCTTTTTAAAGATTTATCCTTGTCTATTTCTGATGCATCAATACAAAATCCGAGGTACAGATACAATTTGTCAGTCACTCTGATCAAGTCAAAATGCTCCCCAGTTTTGGTCAAGATACCAAATGGGACAGATGACAATATTGTTTTTACCTCAGATAAAATTGAATTATGAAGATCAAATTCAATCAAGTGGTTGAGTCAGTAAAGACGAGATCCATTATTAATACAGGCTTACCAGAATGAGTAAGTCAAAACAAACATGCATCATCGAGAATGACATAAAGCGAAATCCGTACAATGCTTTGACCTCGGCCAGGTCAACAATAAGAACTCGTAAAATGCACAGGTTTAGTTGAGTTGAAAGATTACAGCAATGAATGGTGTAAGACACTCGAATATAATTTAATAGTATAAAGCTCGTAAAATGCACAGGTTAAGTACATGTATCCAAGTTTAAATTACAACCGATAAACACGGGGTGCAACTTGGATAGAGTTTATTACATAACTCGGAAAATCTCGGGTTTCAAAAGTACAAACAACCCAAGTTGCAACTCAGATATCACGTCGAGTGGCAACTCAGACAAGGTTTGAAGTATTCATTGACGGTGGGTCATTTTGTTGGGGAGAAGTTTGTGAAACAAATGAAGCTATTCATCGATGAGATATCTGACTATAATTTTTGGATTTGTTATGGGATATAGTCATCTTGCTCTTGGTATCAACCACACTTTTAATCTGTTTGTAGTGAGTATCGAAATTTATCGTCCCACAAATGGTGCCAATGAAGATGTTGAGCTGGATGACACGAGGTTGAACTTGAAGATGTTGGTGTAGAAAAAAAGGTATTAGGTGTTTAGCGGGATGAGAGAGGTAAATGCGAGATATTAAAGGTGTTGCTTTCATGTATAGATTGGTGGAGATGAGGGTCGAGAAGTCAGTGGTTTATAGTGATCGTATATTTTTTTACTATCTTTAGTAGCCAGAGCGAGATGATTTTGCTAAGGTTGAATGTTGTGATTTTTATTGTAAAAGTGTGTCTTCGTTTATGTTGCTTTTGTGTGGCTCTGTCCATCCTGTTGGTGGAGAGAGATAGCCTAGTATATGCTTTGCTAGGCTATGTCAAAGGTACTGATGCATTTGCTTTACATCTTTGAGTATGTTTACAGCAAGTACGTGCTGGAATGTTACGTTGGATCTTGCGGAGGCCCAATTGCATTGAGCAGCTAATCTCGCCGTCGTGTTCTCAGTTATCTTATTAGTGTTTGTTGCGAGATATTCAGTTGTACACGAGATAAATGCATTTACATCTGGATTAAGCAACAGTTTTGGACCTTTATTGAGCTGGGCTTCAATCTCGCATTAAGAAGGTCTATATCAAATACAAAGTAACAAAAAATAGTAATATTACAAGTGAAAAATAAAAAATAAAAACCAAATAACTTATGAATTTTTTAAAAATTTTCTGCGAAATGACATTTTTTTTTTTAAGTTTGTGAATCATGACTTTGTCAATGAAGCACTCGACCTTTTCCTCATGTGTTTGAATGTTTTTTTTAAGCTTTACTCAATCCCTGACTTATTTAGTTAGCTTGAGTCATAATTTATGAATTTACGAGTTAACCCTCTAACATCGCTAATTATATTTACGAGTTTATAGATTACAAAAAAAAATATTACGAGTTTAGATGAATGTGTGAGGAAAAAAAGCCAATAGCAATAAAATTTGTGGCCAATAACATTAAATTTAAACGTCAGTAATAAATATTTATGGACTTAATATTTTATGCTTGCAGGTACGTTATGATTTTAAATTTGAATACTGTTGTAAATGTTTTTGAATCTATATCACATAATTTTCTGAAAATATAAAACTTATGGTTTTCATGCCTTTGGATTTTCGAAAAGTTTGGGGGCGGGTTTACTTCATTTTACTAAACCGCGCAAGATGAAGCGGAATTGTCCATTTCGGCGCGCAACGAAAACTCAAAAGCAGAGGAGATTCTAAAATTCCAATTTGATGAAAAAGACAGATCAAAAGCATCTGAACCGTCCATCACGGAGTACTCAAATGAATTTAAACGGTCAAGACAATCGCCAACTTATCGATCCACATGCCCAAAACCTCACGGAACATCGTGACCGTCTCTTTTCGAGTACTTTTGGAAAAATTATTAGACGAACGAAGAAGACCCACGTCATCAATCCGCGTGAAAACACTTTAGCCAATCAGAACGCCAGAAACTTTTATATATCAATCACCGCAAGCAACCATTCCGTATCCAATTCAGTTCACTTCGATTGTTGCAATTTCATTCCCAATCTCAAACCCTAATCTTTTTCCGAGTTCCAAATTCCATCTTCCTAATGGCACCAAAGGGAGCAGAGAAGAAGCCCGCGGAGAAGAAACCCGCAGAGGAGAAAAAATCCACGGTGGCCGAGAAGGCACCACCGGCTGAAAAGAAACCAAAGGCCGGCAAGAAGCTACCAAAGGAAGGTGGTGCCGCCGCCAGCGACAAGAAGAAGAAGAGAAACAAGAAGAGCGTGGAGACTTACAAGATCTACATCTTCAAGGTTCTGAAACAAGTCCACCCAGACATTGGTATCTCGAGCAAGGCCATGGGTATCATGAACAGTTTCATCAACGACATCTTCGAGAAGCTTGCTCAGGAATCTTCTAGACTCGCTCGCTACAACAAGAAGCCAACGATTACTTCAAGGGAGATCCAGACCGCGGTCAGGCTTGTGTTGCCCGGAGAATTGGCTAAGCATGCTGTGTCTGAGGGTACAAAGGCTGTAACCAAGTTTACCAGCTCTTGAACAAAATCAGGGTTTTGTTTGGGGGTTGTTTACTGCAGACTTGTATCCCCAAGTCTGGTTTAGTTTTCCATTAGAATCATGTTTAGATCTGCTCCAGTATTGCCTTTTTTTTTTTTTGCTAAAAAAAAATTTAACTTGTAAGTGAAGAAATGGAGTTTGTTGGATCCATGTGTATGGAATAGCTTTTCTTTGAATCGAATATATTTTGGGAGATCCGTTTGAACATTATTAAGTGCTGTACTTATTTTTTTATTTGCCAATGGTTACAATTAGATTATCAAATAGGTTCTTCTATTTTATTTGAATTTTTAAATTGAGAGTCAATTTCCTTTTATTTTCCTCTGTAGTACACAATTTCTTTTTAGGCAGATTGATTTTTTATTTCCCTCTTGTCTGCCTAGAGGGCTGAGATTGACCTTCTTTGTTTCCCTTGAGAAATAAAAAGAAAAAGAAAAAGTGATGTTTAAAATTGAGTTTTTTTATTTAAAATTTTAATTTTTTATAAGCTCTTTATTCTGGTTCGCAAGTTCCATTTGATTAGAAAAGCTGAGATGTCACAAATAAAGCGAAGCAGGTTGTTGATCGTCACGCAGGCCTCTTGCTCGTAGTTCCTCAGCCACTGTTGAAGATTGCTCGTAGTTCCCCAAAGGATTGCTCACTGCCCCCCGTTAGGTATGGAATCAACTTATTCCTTGTTCCTGGAGAGACTAGTTCTTTAGCACCACTCTTTAGGACTGCTTAACACTCAACCTTCAACTTGCTCACCATAGCATCCAAACAGATCATTGGAGAACTCTTTTCTTCACTGCCTGTTGGAGTCTATGAAACTGCAGGAGCAAGCAAACTCATGGGCCGAATGTTACGTCCACAAAGCATTGTCCCACTATCGTTCATAATATTAGCAGGCTTGTAAATGATATTTCGAGGAAGCAAATTCCAAGGGTGGCCTCAGCTGTACAAACAAGAATGTGTCTGAGATGAATATCAAATGACACCCTCGAGATCAAGGGTAGGTAAAATAAAACACAGCTTCTCCAAGACCAGCACCATACGTAAAGACTCTCATAGCTACTGAATTAGAGGATTTAATTGTACAGTGGATCTCAGTACTCCTTACACTGCTGAGCTTTGGGGCATCCTCAAATTTATGGAATTCGCCTGGTCAAAAGACTTGGCAAATCATCATTAAAAGTGATTCTTTAGCAAAATCACATTGTTTACCAAAACTCATAATACTGCTTGAGAGTCTCATATGTTGACTCAGCATTTAAACATTGTTGGAAAAAGATTGGGTAATGCTTTGGCACATATACAGAGAAGGCATTTTTTGTGCCAATTGGCTGGCAAATTAGATATTAGATCAAGAAAAGTAGGTGATTTCTATTAAGTTTATTTCTGTTCTAGTTCGGCCGGATGGCCCTGCCCAACCAGTTAAATAGCTGCCAGTAGGGCCACCACTACTTAGCATGTGGAGTGTACGAGTCCCTTATACATGTGTACCCTCATGCTTCCAATGCACACATGTCTTTTTACACGTCAGAGATCATGCCGTCTCACACCTAGTGGGGCTCACAGAGTCGTAAACGGTTATGACATCAAACTTTTCACACTTCAAGGGAATCTCCAACTTCTTATATAAAGGGACCTTAACTCCCCCGAAAAAATTATTCTTCATGCCATAATCGTTGTCAAAATTCACCTCACTCTTTTCATTCTCAGCCACTTTAAGGCTAGTATGATGGCTCTATAGAGATTTGGTTTAGAGATAACAAAACTGGTTGAACCTGTTAAATCAACTTGTCAACCTATCAAAATGGGGCAAATTGGATTATAAATACCAACCCAGTAACCCGATTCAACTCGCTCCGTTTGTAGGAGGGTTAAAACGAGTTAAGGGCAGGTTGGGGTGGGAAGGGTCAGCCCGTGAGTTAGGAATTTTTTTTATTTTAAATCATAAAATATATTATGTATTATTAGGTTAATTTTTTTATGGTAGCTGTATCTAATCAGCATTGAGCTAGTAGGTCCAAGAAGCTAAATATTCAAATAGAATAAAATACATAAAATAAAAAATAGAGGTTGAAGAAGAAAGCACAAGTGCAAAAAACACTATAAATGAGATTAAATTTGTGGCTGGAATTTGAGCATTTACTTGGTGAGCCTTAGAATAGCAGTTCTGTTTGCAATTTTGAAATTTTATGCTTTGATCTTTAACTGTTTAGCATACAGTTGCCATCAAAATATTTAGAATTTTGGACTATTGCGGGCAAGAATTTGATGCTTGTGTCTTAGGTAGTGTTTGGTTGAAGGTTTATTTTGGGATTGATGGGAAAGTGTAAGTGGATATTAGAAAATACCACGTTTGGTTCAGGTTTTTTTAAAAAATACCAGTCAAATAGGATAGGTGGGAAAATGACTTTTGTGTTGATTTTTGGATGAAATTCACTCTTACAGAATACCACTTGAGATGTGGTATTTTGAGATAACTGGGAAGTGAAAAAAACAGGTGCAAAGTTTCTCCCGAACATAGATTTTGCATATTTAAATAAATTTCCCTGATAATATTTGGGTCAACCAAACAACTTTTTTTACATTTTTCTACCAAACTCACTTTCCAACCATTTCTCTGGTAAAAAAAAATTTCTCCGGAACCAAACACTACGTTAGAGATTGTATTTCTCCTAAACCAGATAGCTATATGGTAGGTGTTATCATCTCATATTGTCAATTGGCTTTCAACCAACTCGAGAGTATTGTTTCCTAATTAAGGAGACTGTACAACATTTCAATCCATGTTGTTTGTAATAAAGGTCCAATATGATTATATTTTATTTTTTTTGATAACAGATTATATTTATTTCACTCAAAGTACTGAGTGCATGGTGCTCATTGTTGGAATATTGAGGCAGTTGCTGACAGAGAGGATGTCAACTTAAAACAATACTTCAGTGAGTGTTTTGATTTTGTTGTACATTGTTGAAGACAATTATTTTTATTTTAGACAAATGTCTCAAAATAACTCATTTGAAGCCTGTTTTAGAAGCAAGTTTTATTTCTTAATCACTTGCAAAAGAAATTTTGGTTTAAATTATCTGGAATGCTGTTTCTCGAGCAATAAATCGGCAGCTACATGTAGCTTATTACACTTTCAATTTTACGGATCGGCCTATTCTGCCATCTTTACTTTGATTTATACCCCTCTCTCTTGTATCCATCACATCGACGTACTTCACTCTTACCAAAAACAAATCCATACCTCATGCTGGAATTCAGTTCAATATCCTTACTTCATGGCATAGCTCTCTTTTTTCTTTTTCTTTTAGTGGTCTTTCTTGTCCGTGAGTAGACCAGTTTTTAGTTTTCCTTTGTTTTCTTGAGTGTCTTGCCCTTGCTTTTAGGGGGGTGAATTGTTGCCATTGGTTGGTGGGAGCAAAACAAAATGAGAAATAATCTTACAAGGAATTTAAATAATTACATGGTAGCATGGCAACGCCTCCACATTATCAGTTAAAAATTTGCCCTGGCGTATAAGTAGGCGTTTTGCACGAGTGATGCCACACTCACCCTCATAAATAACTTCAATCAAAACACTTAAAAACTAGACAAAGTTAAAAATCTTTTAACACACGAACACACAAGGAGGAGAACTGAGTGCCAAATCCTAAAACGAGCCGTCTTAGCCATTCATTGAAAAATCCTAAACAGAGATATGATGTGATGCGATCATCACATTCTTTCAAAAGCATTAACTTATACGTTACAAAAAAGGCCTAACAGAACATTTACAAAATAACAATCAAAAGCTACTATCAAGCTTTCTTGGGAGACTTGGTAGCCTTGGAGGGAGACTTAGGCTCTTTAGCAGCCCTTTCATTCTTCTTAGGCAATAGTACAGGGTTGATATTAGGAAGAACACCACCATGAGCAATGGTGACACCAGCAAGCAATTTTCCAAGCTCCTCATCGTTCCTCACCGCTAACAGAACATGCCTAGGTATAATCCTATTTTTCTTATTATCTCGAGCAGCATTCCCTGCCAACTCCAACACCTGCACCCACAAACATAAGCCAAAACAAAACAAAACAAAAAAAATCATTCATATTCACTACCAATTCAAAAATCAACAACTAAGCCAAATCCATAACACAATATTCAAACATATTTCATAAATTTCTTTACTTTATTCCATCATCTTTTAAATCTGAGAATTCTATTCAACATAACAACACGAATCAAAGATCTAGTAAGTGAAATTACCTCAGCAGCGAGGTACTCCATGACAGCAGCGAGGTAAACAGGAGCACCAGTTCCCACGCGCCGAGAGTATCTTCCCTTCTTCAAATACCGACCGATCCTTCCAACTGGGAACTGAAGACCAGCCTTCACGGACCTTGACACGGGCTTCTTCTTGGGCCCACCTCCTCTCCTTCCTCCGGCACCTTTCTTCACCTTTCCGGCACTTGCTTCCATCGGAACCCTACCGGATATTTTGGGACTCGAGAGAAATGAAATGGAATAGAATGGAATGGAATGAGAAGTGTTGGGATGTAAGAGTAAAAACGGATATGGTGGTAGAGATGCGGGGACATAGATTTATGGAGCTTTGGACAGCGTAAAGTGACACTATGGATATACAAGTAAACACATTTTCGACGTTGGATTCAACTTTATCTACGGCTGTCGAATGTTTTGTATAGTAATCCGTGTGACCTCCAAGTGGACCAATGTAATTGAACGCCGCTATAGTAATGCAATATACCACATTCCTTGGGAGTGGATCGTGAGATTTTAAACTGAAGAGATCATGTGGAAGGATTTTTAACCGTTGATAGACAAATCAATGGTTATAAGACATGACGGAGAAAAAATATTGGAATAAAAAATAATTGTTGATTATCAAATTGTAATAATTCAATTGATCTACTCGAGCTGAGTAACTAATACTCGGAGGATATTTTTACTATCAAAATTTTTTACCATTAATTTATTACTTATCTAATCACCATTGAATCAAAGAGAGAGAATGCTAAAAAAATTTTGAAAAAAAGAGAAAATATTGATCCAATAATAATTAGATAGGTAGTGAGTTGGTAGTAGAAAATTTTGGTAGTGAGTTGGTAGTAGAAAATTTTGATTTTATAGCCTTGATTTGATTTTCACCAATCTCATCTTTAGAAGGGACATAAAATCTTAATATGTGCATTATCTGTATTTGGAATTAGTCTCGTAGTCGATTCAAAGAACCAAAATTTATAAAAATACCCAAAAAGAATTCTTACCTCAAAGAAATAATTAAAATTGATAGAAAAAAAATATTGTTGAAAAAACCCACTCATGCACACTTGAAATATCACATGAAATGATCCATTTTGCACGTTGGTCACTTGAAATCTCACATGAGATTATCCATTTTGCACGTTTCTGTTTGCCATCTTCTTTCTTTTTCTTTTTTCTTTTGTTAGGGTGTAACTCTTTGCCATCTTTTTTTTCACAGTGAAATAGTATTTATGAATATTAAAAAAAAAGGGACTCATGTGATATCATCATTCACACGGATGTTAATAAAATTCATGTAAGGAGCCAATTATATTTTTCTAATTTTAATAAGAGTTTCACTTTCTTGCTACATCAAAACATAAAGTTTTTTCTTATAATCTTAAAATAATATCGTTTTAGGATTTGAGAAAAAAAAATGTAGATATTTAAGTATATTTAATGATATTAGAATAAAGTAAAATTTATAAAAAAAATTAAATACTAAAATGATGATATTTTGAAATTATCGAAAATAACTTTATCTCCAATTGTAAAATAAATATTTTTTCCTTTAAATAAATAATATACCGAGTCTTTAATGCTATAACATTGAAAATATGTTGTAGATTTATTTTGTGATTTTTGTGGGATGAATATAATATAGAATTTGGTCTGTTTGAAAGCGATGGTATAATGACACATGGTCATATACTGTGAAGCACGGATACGCAATTTTGGGGAGAAAATGCGCGTCCGACACGGACACGCGTCCGACACACAGTAGACTTTTTGGGACACGCGAATTTGACCATGTCGGACACGTAGTCAACACATTTGGACACGTTTTGGGACACGTTTTTACATTTTTTTTGGCAAAAAAATAAATAAAATTACAATTAAAAAAATAAAAAATATTTAAAAAAATTTAAGAAGTGTGAAACTGGAACCCTAGCCTTCGTTCCTTTCTCGTTTGTTGACGGCTTGACGCTGGAAGTGGAGGCTGCTGCTGGTCGTTCTCATCTCCGGTGGCGGTAAGTCTCTTTCGATTCTCAAATCTCTGGTCATCTTCTTCGTCGTCTACATCTCTCCTGGAAGTTGTGTTTACTTTAGTTATATTTATTTTCAAGAACTGTTTGCCCAAACAAAGTATAAAGAAGCAGCTGAGCTTGCTGCTGAATCTCCGCAAGGAATCCTTCGTACACCTGACACAGTTGCCAAATTTTAGGTTTCTTGATAAGATATATAGCTACCCATGAATTTTCTAATGCTTGTATGTGCTTGAACTCGGAACAAAATGGTTTTTATGAGCTTGGTTTTCCTTTTCAGGACAAAGATGAAAGAAGCATTTGAATAATGGCAATGTGCATTAAAGAGGACTTATTCTTCTTCTTTTTTCTCTTTTTATCAATGCGTTGAATATATATGTTGCCCTGCTTAGTTACTGTGCCACAACCAAATGTTCTGCATATTCATACCAAAAATATGTATAGATTTAAGGGCTGTAAAAATGCATTTTGTGTGTGGCTGAATGTTCCTATGTCTACCAAATATGTTATTAGTCTTGTGCAATGATGCTATCAAATATGTTGTTTTGGTTCCTCATTGGTTTTCCGTGGCTGAGTAGTTAGTTTCGTATTTCCTTCAATTTTTGCATTTAAATTTTCTTAAATTCATCAACAACAGCAACTGCAACATAAGCCTCCCCCTTCTCAAATTCATCAAATTTGGGGGACAAATTCACTTTCGGTGGTTGGTAACCCAAGTAATATGCATGTGAAGCATACTTCACATTGGATAAACTGGAATGTAAGGACTACAATATTGGATATCCTGATAAATTTGGTCTTATTTGGCATTACTTGTTTTCTTGTTGTCGTTTATTTTTCAAGCATTATTAAAACTTGTGTCTTGATATGCCTTCATATAGTCCTTCTATTTTTATTTTTTTTATTTATGTATTTTTATTTAGAAGATAATAAGAAAAAAATGTAGGAGCAACGAAATTACAATTAACTGGTCATTTACCACATTTTCCTAGTTTTCTGGTTAAGGTTGGGTTGCATTAATTTTTTTGAAGAATTTAGAATTGTTCTGTTACAGATTTGTATGTTCAGTCCTTGGTTGCATTTTTTTTAGTCCCCTAACTGAACATCTATTATTGTAAACGGACCTGCACTGTATCTGATGTTTTTTGTTTGACACATTTATAGAATAACAAGATGGATCATTCAAGTTCTGCCTCGGCCAGTGCCAGTAATAGTGCCACTGCTGCTACTAGTGCTTCTGATGCCAATGAATTATTAGATAAACCCTTATGGAAATATGTTACCAGAATAGATGCTATAGTGGAAGAGGAGGAAATTTATCTTGGCTGTGCAACTTTTGTAAAAAAGATTATAAAAGTTCATATACTAGAGTGAGGGCTCATTTGTTGAAACTATCAGGTAAAGGAATTGGGAAATGCTTAATGGTGCAAAACAGAGATCTGATAGAGATGGAGAAATTAGAACAAGAAGCTGACCAGATAAAGCAATCTAATGCACCCATAAAAGTACCTTTACCTCCTTCTAGCTCTTCCACGTGCCCAAAAAAAAGAAAAACTACAGGTTCTCTTGAGATGGCATTTAATGTTGGGGAGCGAGAAGAATTAAATTACCTGATTGCTAGAATGTTTTATTCAGCAGGATTGCCATTCAATCTGGCAAAGAACCCTTACTTCCAAGCTTCGTATACTTATGCAGCAAATCATAATATTGGAGGTTATTTGCCACCGGGATATAACTCACTGCGAACCACTGTGTTGCAAAAGGAGAAAGAAAATATTGATAAGTTGTGTGAACCTATTCGAGAGTCTTGGGCTCATAAAGGGGTGAGTATTGTAAGTGATGGGTGGAGTGATTCACAAAGGAGGCCACTCATTAATTTCATGGCAGTATCTGATGGTAGAGCAATGTTTTTAAAATCAGTTGATTGTTCGGGGGAGATAAAGGATAAAAATTTCATTTTCAGTTTGTTTGAACTTTTGTATTCTATTTATGTGTTTATTTTCTCGAGGGAGACTAATGATAAAAATATCATTTTCAGGTTGCTAAAGGAAGTTATTCAAGAAGTAGGAGAGGCGAATATGGTTCAAGTAATCACAGATAATGCTGCAAATTGTAAGGGAGCAGGGCAACTTATTGAGCAGGAATTCCCAACTATTACTTGGACACTGTGTGTTGTTCACGCATTGAATTTGGCTGTGAAAAATATTTGTGTTGCAAAGAATGTGGAGAGCAATCAAATAACGTATGAGGAATGCAGCTGGATTTATGATATTGTAGGTGATGTTGCTGCAATAAAGCATTTCATTATGAATCATTCTATGAGATTGGCCATCTTTAATGAGTTTGTGAGTTTGAAGTTGCTTTCTATTGCTAATACTTGTTTTGCTTCAATGATTGTGATGCTGAAGAGATTCAAGTTAATAAAGAGCGGTCTTCAAAATATGGTGATAAGTGAAAAATGGAATATTTATAGAGATGATAATCTTGGGAGGGCCAGACATGTGAAGGAAAAACTATTGGATGATTGTTTTTGGGATTCAGTTGATTACATACTTGCATTCACTGCTCCTATTTATGATATGATCAGAGCTTGTGACACTGATAGATCTTGTCTTCACTTGATATATGATATATTGGATGCAATGATTGTGAAAGTGAAGAAAGCTATATACCATAAAGGGGGGAAGAGGATGGAAGAGAGCTCCTCTTTTTATGATGTGGTGCATCGCATTCTTGTGGATCGTTGGACAAAAAACTCAACTCTACTACACTGTTTGGCACATGCTTTGAATCCCAAGTAATTTTTTAAATATGATTCAATTTAAAATTAATACTCCTCTTTATATAATTTGACAACTTGTTGATTTTTTTTTTGCTTCTCTTTTAGATACTATAATAGTCAACAATGGCTTCAGGAAGATTCTAGTCGAGTTCCTCCACACATGGATTTAGAGCTTACTCAAGAGCGACAAAAATGTTTAAGGAGATTCTTTCCTAGCATGGAGGATCGAAGCAGGATTAGTTTGGAGTATGCAGATTTTATTAGCAATAGTGAAACCTTTGACGATTTTGATGCCATCAATACTCAATACACTATGGATTCGAAATCTTGGTGGCTACTTTATGGTACCTTTACACCGATGCTTCAAAAAATAGCATTGAGACTTGTGCAACAACCCTCCTCTTCATCATGTGCTGAACGCAATTGGAGTACTTATTCTTTTGTGCATTCCATCAAGAGGAATAAAATCACTCCAAAACGTGCTGAAGACTTGGTTTATGTGCATAGCAACCTTCGACTCTTATCAAGAAAGACTCCTAGTTATGCACAAGGAACAAATCAAACGTGGGATATTGCTGGAGATACATTCGATTCACTTGATGATATTGGAAATCTTCAATTTGCTAGCCTTTCACTTGATGAGCCAGAGATAGAGGCCATGATTATTGAAGATGGAGATGAAAATAATTGAACTGTGTGTAATCATAAGTAAAATAATTTTTCTATTTTTCTACACTCTACACTCTTGGGATGTTCTATTATTTTTTTTAATATTTATGTTATGAAATTTAAATATTTTATTGGTTATATGACTTATTATGAATTCTTATATGTATTAAATATAAATTATATTATATATTAAAATTTTTATTTAATATCAAAACGTGTCTCAACGTGTCCAAATATGACATTTTTTAGAATTAACGTGTTGGCGTGTCGTGTCGTGTCGTGTCCCGTGTCCGTGTCCGTGTATCATTGGTCATATATAAGATCTTATAGAAATCTCAATATTAATAGTATAGAGTATTTGATATAACACTGTATAAAATAATATGATTTGGAAATGGTAGTTTATCTCAATTTACGAAATATTTTAGGTACATCTATCGCATTACTAACTTGGTGTGACGGACCAATTAGAATGAGATATTTTATGTAGTGTGTATATGGAAAAGAAGAGAGAGAGAGAGAGAAATTTAATCCAAATGTCAATTTTTGAATGAAAGTTGCATTTACATGTCGTGTGTACTGAAAATACTCTCCTCTTTTTATGGATGGCAACAATGTTTAGATGAAAATACCCTATGGTGTATTGTACCCAAAAAAAAATAAAAAAATACCCTATGGTGTGATATTGATTTTAGTCTCCTTCGAATGTTTCGATGGGTGAGGGTGAGAGGGTAATGAATTCGACACTCAAACAATATGGGTAGAACACAAAACTGAAGATTTGAATTTGTATTTACCAGAAAAGGAGATCATTTATTGCTAAAAATAGTGAAAATAATCATAACGAAGATTGTGTATAATTTTGTAAAGCTCGTATGTCTAAAGATTGCTTCACTTCAAATTTATATTATTGTACACTTCAAATGATCATTTGCAAAAAGAAAAAGAAAAAAACAAATCTAAAGCAGTCCCGTTAGTCGCACTAGTATGATTGGTCTTGCAGACTGAATGAACATGACTTATTTTTATTGGGCCATATGACCAAAAAAAAAAAAAACCTGGCCTTTTGTGTGATCTTTCAAAATGCAGCAAATTAAAAAAAAAATTATAACAAAAAATGTAATTATAAAGCCACTAGATTTGATCTAACGGTGAGGGACTTGGTAGTTTATATTAGGTTATGTGTTCATAATTTAATATATATTTTTTTTAAAAAGTTAAGAACTTACACTGTCCACTCATAATTTAATTGATTCGCAAGAGTGCCCAAAAACGTAATTATTAAAACTTATTTTCTTGGGCAACAAATTATAGTGAATGTTGAACAAAATATCATTTTATTTGCATGGGTCATATACCTCATTAAGTTGTTCGGTTCCATATTGTTCCTCCACTTAAGTTTTTTTTTTCTTTTTAATTGTTCCAAGAGAAAATTTTATGACTTATTCCCTTGTACTTATTTTTTCTTAATCAGATGCATTCCTTATGTTTTTCTTTCCAGTTAACTTAGGAAAAATGGATAAATTAATCTTAATATTTAACGGCATTCAAGATGAACTTAGATGGAAAAAATCATGAGAAGGTAAGTGATAATAAAATAAAAAATACAGGAGATTAAATGATTTTAAAACAAATCACATGCGGTTTTAAAATCATTGGCCTTTGTCTGGTCAAGGTGTTACATATTTGAGGTTAACGCCCATTCAATGCAGTTATAAACTTATAATAAGTGTGTTAAGGGACGCGAACCCTTAATCGGTACCAAACTCAGTCTCAAAGAGAAGATGATAAGAAGAAAAGAGGAAATCAATAGTATATTTCAAAATACCAAAACCAAAATGACAGATAGGTGCTTTTGTAATACACGTGTAGCTTTCCAAGCTCTATTCCTAACAACTACACAATGTTGTATCTGATTACTAACTCTCACATACAACTCATTGGGCTTGCTAACACTTACTAACATAATCCCTGGCCCATGAAGGGGCCCCAACAAACCTCCTACTCTTGGGCCTGCTATCAGTTACCTTAACATTCGCCCCTAGTGCAACAGAAAACTTGTCCTCAAGGTTTGATGTAGGCAAAATAAACTCAGGATAATTCAAGATGAGATCTTCTTCATTTTCCCAAGTAGCATCTTCTGGAAGAGCATTAGTCCACTGAATGAGCCACTGTATATGATTGCCTTGGACATCCTAAGTAACACGCCTCATCAATGCAGCCAATGGTTGCTGAATTGGACGGTTCTCATTGCTGTCAGCTGGTAATGGTAGAGCTACAGTCAGCCCATCACCTTTGTAAGGTTTCAGCACCGAGATGTGAAAAGAAGAATGAACTTGGCACCCTTCAGGCAGTCCAATTTGATAAGCTACATGGCTTAATACCCTTACCACTGGAAATGGCCCAAAATACCTCTTGGCCAATTTTTGATTCTTGCGATTGGCTACTGAATTGCCGGAATGGATGCAGCCTCACTAAAACTAGATCTCCTACTGCAAAGCTAGCATCACGTCTGTGTTTGTCAGCTTGCGCCTTCATCCTATTCTGCGCACCTTGCAAGTGAGCCTTCAATCTCCTCAATAACTCATCCCTGTTGACCAGAGTGGTATCCACTGCCTCAACTCAGACTGACCCTTTTGGATATGGTGGAATCATTAATGGCACCTTGCCATAGAGAGCTTGGAATGGTGTCATTCCAATTGAAGAATGTGTAGCTGTGTTATAATGGTATTCAGACCATCCTAAAACTCCAGCCCACTTATGATTTTCATCATGACAAAAAGCTCTAATATATTGTTCCAAGTAACGGTTAGTTACCTCCGTTTGTCCATCCGATTGAGGATGGTAAGCTGTGCTCGTCCTCAAGGTTGTGCCACTGCATCTGAAAAGTTCAGACCAGAATTTGCTAACAAAGACTGCATCACGGTCTGATACAATAGTTCTAGGAAACCCATGTAATTTCACCACAATCTCACAAAACAGAGAAGCCACCTTGGCTGCTGTGTAGGGATGAGCCAAAGCACCAAAATGTGCAAATTTTGTTAAGCGGTCAACAACTACAAGGATGACAGTATAACCTTTGGAGTGTGGTAAGCCCACTATAAAATCCATGCTTAAGTCCTCAAACACCCCATTAGGAACAGGTAGCGGCTGTAATAAACCCATGGGAGGAGAAGTTGATGTTTTTATCACTTGGCAAGTGTGACACCTCTTGACAAACTCTTTCACATCATTCCTCATGCCAACCCAATAAAAAGAAGCATTAAGTCTCAGAAAAGTTCTAGTTATACCTGCATGACCACCCATGGGTGTGGAATGTGCCTATCTAAGCACCACTTCCCTCAATTCTGAATTGGGTCCCAACAAAAATCGCCCCTTATGGTAAAGAATTCCATCTCTTTCTGTGATATCATTACTCCCTAACTCCTGCCTGTGCAATTTACCATGGATGCTAATCAATTCAGGGTCAGTAGAGTTCTCAACCTTGATCTGCTCCACTAGCTGAAAAATAGCCTCTGAGACTAAGGACAAAGACATATCACTGTGGTCTTCCTCCATACATCTAGATAAGGAGTCAGCAACAATATTAGTTGTACCAGGTTTATATTCTATGACAAAATCAAACCCCATCAACTTACAGACATATTTTTGTTGCTCAACTGTCTGGACAGTTTGAGCGAGTAACTCCTTTAAGCTGCGATGATCAGTACGTATAATAAATTTGGACCCCAACAAATAGTGACGCCATTTCTTTACCGCTTCCGTCACTGCATACAATTCCCTAACATAGGTGGATGCCACACTCATTCTTGGACCCAACTTCTTGCTGAAAAAAGAGATAGGGTGATTTTCTTGTTGAAGGACAGCCCCTATGCCTAATGATGAGGCATCAGTTTCCACAATAAAAGGCTTGGTGAAATCGGGCAGAATCAAAACTGGTGTCCTTGACATTGCTTCCTTTAACACCTCAAAAAATTTTGCAGCCTCTTCACACCAATGAAAGGCATCAGATCTCAACAAATCAGTCAAAGGTGAGGCCATGGTAGCATAATTCTTAATGAATCGTCTATAATACCCAGTGAGACCAATGAAACCTCTCAACTGCTTAAAAGTCTTGGGTTGCGGCCACTGCATCATTGCCACTATCTTCTTAGGATCAGCCTTAACTCCAGCCCTGAAACTACATGTCCCAAGTAATCAATTTCAGCCAAAGCAAACCCGCATTTACTGAGCTTAACCATAAACTGATTTTTCTGTAAACAGCCCAAAGTGACAGTGAGATGATGATAATGTTCCTCAAGAGATCCACTGTAAACTAACATATCATCGAAGAATACGATGATGAATCTTCGAAGGTAAGGACGAAACATATGATTCATGGCCGCTTGGAAAGTTGAGGGCGCATTGGTAAAGCCAAAAGGCATCACCAAAAACTCATAATGCCCTCATGAGTCCGAAAAGCAGTCTTGGATGTATCCTTAGGCACCAAAAGAATTTGGTGATATCCACTACGCAAATCCAATTTGGAGAAAACCTTAGCACCATTGAGTTCATCAAGTAATTCATCGATTGTGGGAATGGGAAAACGATCCTTTATAGTGATGCTATTCAAGGCACGGTAATCAATACACATTCGCCAAGAATTATCTTGTTTCTTCACAAGCAAAACTGGAGATGAGAATGGACTCCTGCTTTCCTTTATTAAACCTGAACCCAACAATTCTGATACCTGCTTCTCTATCTCCCATTTCTGATGGTGTGCATATCGGTACAGCCTCACATTAACCGGCTTGGCACCCTCAACCAGATGAATAGCATGGTCACAGCCCCTAGGTGGTGGCAGCCCTGTGGGAAACTGGAAAACAGTGTGAAATTGCACCAAAATATCCCATATGGCTGCAGGAATTTGAGCCTTCAATTCCTTTAATTCAGGTGAGACATCTGAGACTCCTTCTCCTGCCAAATGAAAACAGTTTGGGGCCCTTATATTTCTGGCCACACCAGAATTTTCACCTGACAACACCACCCTCCCTCCTTTGAACAAGAACTCCATAGACATGTCAGTATAATCATGAATAACTCGGCCAAGGGTACTTAACCAAGACATGCCCAATATTATGCCCAAATTGGCTAACTCCAGGACCCACAAATCCACAGAAAACTCATACCCCTGAATATTTAATAGAACCCCTATGCATTTTCTTTCACAGATTAAAAACTCCCCATTGCCTAGAAACACACACATCTTAGGCACCTTGACAGTAGCTAAACCAGAAACATCAACTAACTTCTTTTGGACAAAACAATGTGAGCTACCAGAATCCACAAGAACAGGTACTAACCTTCCCTTAATCTCCACATGGAACTGAAGTGCTCGAGGATGTCTTTCCCCTGCCAAAGAATGTAAGGCTGCCACATGAGACTCCTCAAGAATAGGGTCAGGTTGCCACACAATATGCTCTTCTGCCTCAGTCTCCAATTCCTCAGAATCACCTAGCATCAAAAACAACTTTCCCTTACACCGATGGCGAGAGTTCCATTTTTCATCGCAGGTATAACAAATTCCCATATCTCGCTTCTTCTGCATCTCCTCATGAGACAGTTTTCGATAAGGAGTTGAAGAAGGTAAAGCAGGAACACCTGGTTTCTGAGTAGGTAATACTGTAGAAATTGGACTTGGTTGGTCCACAGTATAGGTGTGTTTAGCAAAACCTTTCTTAAGCCCTGAAGAAAAAGATGAACGCAGCTCCACGAAGTGTGCATCATAGGTAATAGCCAGTTGCATTGCTTGATGGAGTGAGGTAGGAGAATGAAGTTGGATGGCTCGACGCAAATCAGGCAACAAACCGGAGACGAAGAAACACATCAAAACCTCATCACTAAACTCAGTGACTTGATTAATCAAAGCCTCAAAGTTTCGGATGTACTCACTCAATGCACCTTCCTGAACCAACTTGGAAAGAACTCCACGTAAATCCTGATAAGCAGTACCCCCAAACCTCTGACGAACCGCAATCTTCAGATCCTCCCAAGTATGAATGGATCCTCCACTGAAAAGCCACTGAAACCAAGGACTAGCTAATCCCTCCATTTTCATCCCAGCCAAACGGACCTTGATGTTCTCCGGCACTTGCTGTAACCCAAAATACAACTCGGTGCGAAAAATCCAGCCATTAGGATCGGTTCCGTTGAAAATTGGAAGCTCCATCCTAACCGATTTCAGCCATGAACGCGGATCGTTAAGATCCATGCGTGGGATATGTATTCCCCCAGACTCAGTAGAAGATGAGGCATGAACTCCTTTCGAATAAGCATGCTCTGTAGCATGAACCTCAGCCCCAAGCACCGCTGCATGAATCTGTTGGAGTTGAGAATTGATGCCAACGAACTGGGTTTGATGATCGAGAAATCGTTGTTCCACCCGCGATTGCAGATCCTCGAAGTTTCGTTCGATTCGGAGTTGGAAAGTGCCAAACTCCTCAGCCAATTCCTGAACCCTCATTTTGGATTTCCAAAGGAGCTCTCAATGAAAGCACCAATGTTAAGGGACGCGAACCCTTAATCGGTACCAAACTCAGCCTCAGAGAGAAGAGGATAAGAAGAAAAGAGGAAATCAATAGTATATTTCAGAATACCAAAACCAAAATGACAGATAGGTGCTTTTGTAATACACGTGTAGCTTTCCAAGCTCTATTCCTAACAACTACACAATGTTGTATCTGATTACTAACTCTCACATACAACTCATTGGGCTTGCTAACACTTACTAACATAATCCCTGGCCCATGAAGGGGCCCCAACCAACCTCCTACTCTTGGGCCTGCTATCAGTTACCTTAACAAAGTGTAGGCTTGACAATTTGTTTTTTTGTTTTTTTTTTTTTTATTACTTTGGCTGTGTGATATTTTTAGGACACTACTTCCATCTTAGCATTGTTAAGAATGAGAGAAACCAAAAAAAGACGAGAACATTTCTATCGGGTCAATTGAAATACCACTAATAAATTTAACATTAAGACGTTGGGTTTATAGATTTTGTTACTTGTATTTTTATTTTTTTTGGAATACAAGATTTTGTTACTTGTATTATCATATTCATTCTGTAATAATTTAGTGTGAGCCATGTAGAATATCCTAATGAACAAGGAGCACGTTCTCACTATATCAGTATTTTTATTAGATGCTAAGTTCATAAATTTCGTAACTTTGTAAAGAGCAATGCTATGTTGACAGCTTCTTACAATGCCCATCACGAGTTGATAATGATATTACAACACAAGTTTCGATGACTTATTGACTCTCAAATTTTTTTTTTAAAAAAAAAACAAAAAACCATCTTCCATAATAAGCAATTTAAGATGTGTTTAATTTCACTTTTACTTATCTATAGTCACTTCATCCTTATTATTTTTTCTTATTATCGTGGGATACATTTCATCAAATAATTGAGTCAACAAACACATAACTGGCTTGTGCTTAAAATCAAAACTATTGGTAACTTTGACATGCTTAATGTGAATCGAAACGATATTAGTATCATTAAATCCTCCATATAAATGATTTCACACATTGTGCTGTTCGATTCTGATTTTGGTAAACTCTTCTTCTTTTATAAACCACAGGTATCTTGAGGAGGTAATTATGTTCTGATAAAATAATCCAAAATAAAGACTTTAAATCTTTCCCAAAAATAGTATTAAAAAAATTAAACACGTACTCTCACCCCAAATACTCAATTCTCATGCACCACTAAACTATCATCATTTATCATTTGGTAACTCTTACTCTTCTTTGTTGTCTTAGCATTTTTCTACCGTAACTGATCATTGTTTCAATAAAAGTTATTCGTTTCAGTTTCAACAGTAGTTCAATATTCTCAATATCCCTTTGAATTTTGAGTCTTCGAGTATCAACATACATAACCATTCCAGTAAAACAACTTGTCAATGATGTCACAAAAACAGTGGCGAAATAGAGAGCTGCACTACACCGATTCATATCAAGAATTGATGTGTTCTTTTGGCTTAGTTAAAAGATATAGCAAAAAAAAAATGAAATAATAATGGTTAAAATCTTTAGCCAACATTAAGGCGCTTAGGACAAACAATGCCATCATCATCCTCCTCATAAATAACACACCCAAATAAATCCAAACACTTCAAACAAACCGAGTTTTAATCTTAAACAAACACATATGCGCACATCTGAGTCCACGTCTTTAAATAAGCTGTTTCCAATGATTCATTAAAAAAAATCCTAAATTAAGATGATGGAATCATCATTACATTGTTTCAAACGCATCAACCTTTTCAAGTTACATAAAAAAGGCCTAATAGTAGATTTACATATAGAAATCAAGAACAACAAACTCAAAATTAAAATCAAGCTTTCTTAGGAGACTTGGTGGCTTTAGATGGAGACTTGGCCTCTTTGGATGCCCTTTCAGACTTCTTTGGCAACAGCACAGGATTGATGTTAGGCAAAACACCTCCATGAGCAATGGTAACACCAGCAAGCAATTTTCCAAGCTCCTCATCATTCCTCACTGCTAACAGAACATGCCTAGGTATAATCCTATTTTTCTTGTTATCACGAGCAGCATTCCCAGCCAACTCCAACACCTGCACCCACACGTACACACAAAAGTTAAAAAACAAAACCCTAATTCCCAAATCAGGTTTCCATAATGTCCAAAAATTCCTTTCGTGCAAAATCAATAGATGAATTAAACAATTTAAACCCATTTCATAAATTTCTTCCCTTTTATTACATCATATCTCAAATCTGAATTTTTTAAAACAACACAACGAACCCGGTTTGTTTTGCCGCAATTTTAACAAACATGAATCAAAGATCTAGCAAATAGAATTACCTCAGCAGCGAGGTACTCCAAAACAGCGGCGAGGTAAACGGGAGCACCGGTTCCCACGCGCTGAGAGTACCTTCCTTTCTTCAAATACCGACCGATCCTTCCAACAGGGAACTGAAGACCAGCCTTCACGGACCTTGACACGGGCTTCTTCTTGGGCCCACCTCCTCTCCTACCTCCGGCACCCCTCTTCACCTTTCCGGCACCAGAATCCATCGGAAACCCAACCTGAGATTTTTTTGTTGCGAAAAGAGGAAATGAATTGAATTGAATTGAATTGAGAAGTGTTGAGAAGTAAGAAGAATATACGTGGACATTTATTGAGCTTTGGACAGCGAGAGGTGACTCCAAGGATACACAAGTAAACGCATTATAGACGTTGGATTCTACCTCATCTACGGTTGTGGATAATTTTGTGTAGTGATCCGTGTGACTTCCAAACGGACCAATGGAATGGAACGGCACTATAATTATATGGAAAAAACATTTATTTATTAATTAATTAATAATAAATTGGGATAGGATATTGTGACAACCAAATAATATTATTACCAATGTTACTACCACATCTTAACCGTTGATTTCCGTCAATCAACGGTTATCATTTATTGCGTATTAATAATTAATTAATGAGTTTAATTTGAAAAATGATAACTGTTGATTGGTGAAAATCAACGGTTAAGATGTGGTAGTAACATTGATAGTAACATTATTTGGTTGTCACAATATCTTATCCCTAATAAATTTGGCCCAATAAATTTCATAAAATAAATTATAACCGATGATTGACGGAAATCAACGGTTAGTATCTAAAATAAAATAAGTTTTCTTTCTTTCTTTATTTTTGTCATTTTTAGGGTTTTGTTGAAATCAGATCAAAATATTTATTTTTTGATTAGATACTGGGCAAAAAAATTTATTTATTGCATTTTAATTAAATAATTACGCATTTATAACAGTTTTGTAAAAAAATACAAATCTACTGCACAATGTGACGCCACTTTTGGGAGTCACATGTGACGCCCCATTGGGGGGTGAGACGCCCCAATGGGACGTCACATGTGACGCCCAAAAGTGGCGTCACATTGTGCACCCTATATAGTCCCTCACCCCTCTATTCACTCTTCACACCTCTTCTCTCACTCTTTATATATCTTCTCTACGAAAATTCCTAACATTATACATACTTATCTTTAATTTAGTATTTGAATTTTATTTCTTATTCTATTTAAGAATGAGTTCACGTCCTGATTCTGTTCGTGTTGTGTTATATTACAATGGTAGGAAGGTAGAAGGTCAACGAGGTGTCATGTTTGAAGGTGAAAAAAGCCCAACACGTATCTAATGCAATGCAACTATTGGCGAACTGCATCAGAGAATTCGGCAGAAGTTAAGTCTTCAAGGCAACCAATGTATCACTCAGATCACGACAAGGTTATGGCAATGTGATAAATACATTAGTTTGCAAGTGGTTGACAATGAAGACGTGGAGATAACATTGGAAGAATTTTTCAACCAGTTAAGGACAGATTTTCTGGAGTTGTATGTCAACATCACCGCAACCGAGAATGTTCCCTTACCGGTGAGGTCAGTTGATTTAAATTCTCCCCGTCTTCCATCTTCGTCTGCCGCTCATGCGTCTCCAGTTGGTAACTGAAGGAGATGAAAATGATCCGACTTGGAAAATGCACGACGAAGACAACGACGATGATGATGAAAATATCGCAATGGAAGAACGTCTTCTGACAGAGGATGTTAGTGCTTCCGAAGGAGATGAAGGTGCTGAGATAGGTGCTTCTCAAATCCCAATATTCCATGAACCAGTGGTCGCGCAAATGCCGCAATTGCATGACGTTGCGTCTACCCCATTAGGTATTCTTCATGAAGGTAATTGAAATAATGTGTATATAGCTGAATAGATACCTGATTTAATACCTGAATTGGAAAGTTTGTATTAAAAAGTTATAATCCGCAGTTGCAGGTGCCGAAACTGTTATTCCTTTTTGGGAAGGAATTTCGCATTATTTCTACATTGATTGGAGTTATCAGAGCGAACAAGAATCATGCACTGATGGTTCGGTCTCAGGATTGGGTTCAATACAAGGTCAGTGGCAACTGGGTGACAAGTTATTTGTCAATCAAGAATTTGCAACAAAAAAAAGATGTCCAAATGGCACTTAAGCACCACCTCATTAGGGAGCATCAAGAAGCAATGGTAATTGAGAGCACGCCTGCAAAGTTATCCTTGAAATGTTGTGCGTATGATAAGGGTTGCCCGTGGCGCGTTAGGTCCATGAAACCAGTGTTTGGTGAAAATTGGAAGATTACGAGATGGGGTGGAGATCACAATTGTTTGAATGAGCACATTTCCTAGGGACATAGACAGCTCGATGCGGACGTTATTGCAGATCTCGTCATAGGTACGTATTTATTTATTTGTATGACATGTCAACGTTTACGTACTGCTGTGTAATTAAATGTGTTCGATGTTATCGAGTCTGGGTCCTCTTCAATGCAGGGATGATAAAGGAAGAATCATTTGTGTCAATCTCTTTGGTGCAAGAAAGGATAACATCTAAATATGGTTTTGAAGTTTCGTACAGAAAGGCATGGTATGCGAAGCAGAAAGCGATGACAATTATGTACTGTGATTGGGAGGAATCATATGCTTTTTTGCCAAGGTGGTGTGAATACATGCTTCGCTTTTCTCCAGGTTCATTTTATCATATCCAAACAAATGATCTTTATGCGGAGTAGAGCTTAGTTACTGGAAAAAAGGTGTTTCATCGCATATTTTGTACGTTTAGACAGTGTTGTGAGGCGTTCAAATTTGCCAAACCCGTCATACAAATTGATGGAACACATTTATATGGAAAGTACAAAGGCAAATTGTTGGTGGCCACAACCTAAGATGGTAATGATGAATGTTTACCGATTGCTTTTGCCATCGTTGAAGGCGAGACCTTGGAAGCATGAGACTATTTTTTTGTTAATATTCGTGCTCATGTTACTGACATGTTAAACATATGTTTGATATCCGATCGGCATCGTGACATAATATCTGCTGTGGAGAATAACCCTAATTGGCAGCCACCAAATGCATATCACGTCTTTTGTATTCGTAATATTGCAAGCAACTTCAATCAAACGTTTCGGAATTAAGGTTTGAAGCGGATGTTAAAGAATTTAGGTATACTCATTGACACGATGCGTATTTATTTCTTTCCATTATGTTTCTCAATTTATGTTTAATTCGATGATGTCCATTATTTGCAGGTTATACTCCGGCCATGGTTGATTTTGAAATGAATCTTGCGAGCTTCCGTAAAAGTAGTCCTCAAATTGCTGAGTGGATTGATGCCATCCCTAAGGAAAAGTGGTCGCGAGCCTACGATAGTGAAGGACGGAGGTACGGTCATATGACAACAAATTTGGCAGAATCTGTGAACAAAGTTTTGAAGGGAGCCAGAAATATGCCTATAACTGCATTGGTTAAGTACACATATAGCAGATTGGTTCATTATTTTGTTGAGAGAGGAACAAATGTTGTTGCACAACTTGAATCAGCTCATCATCACTGCAAAAATGTTGTTGAATTGGTCAAGAAGAACCAGGTAGATGCAACAGGCCACCACATTCGTGCATACAATGTGGAATATACTGTCTTCGAGGTTGACGCAGGTTGGGAGCGTTCATATTATGTCAATCTCCCACAGAGATTCTGTCAGTGTGGAAAGTTTAAGGCCTTTAAGTATCCGTGTAGTCACGCCGCTGCTGCTGCTTTAAGTGTTAGGCAGAGTCCGTTCACGTACGTAGACGATGTCTTATTGACAACTAACTTGGTCGAGGCTATTCTTTTCCGTGGGAGTCAATCGGAAATGAGGAAGCAATACCTGAAATTAGTGGTCCAAAGATTATTCCTGATGCCACTATGTTGCGTGCAAAAGGTCGTCCAAAGTCAACTCGCATCCGCAACGAAATGGACGAAGTTGAGACAAGTCAAAGCCGTATCAGGTGTGGACTTTGCAAGGAACGGGGCCACAATCGTCGAGGATGTCCAAATCGTGGGAGAAACGACTGAGATACTTCGTAATTTTTTTCTACATGGATATTTTATTGCTTGAATTGTAATGTACGTTATGTTGGACTATTTCATTTCCCTTATGTATGTTTTTATTCTCTTAGTATTAACCGTCTTGATTAGTTACTGTAACATAAATGCAATAAGGGTGACCAACAAAACATAAATACTAAAGCATAGTAAGTAGTCTAAATAATATAATAATGTACCGTCCACAAAATAACAATATGATAATGTGAATAACTAATACAAAAAAGCCCAAAATGGCAATGAAACTACGACCACGGAGGCCATGGCCTATGTCGTGCATCCCTATCTGGCTGTATACGTCTGTCCCAAACTGGGTCTCCCTGATGTGCCTGTGGTGGTGGAGTCTGGAAGTCATCCATCGTTGCACGCATGAAATCATCTGCCGATCCGTGCCCACCAATATCTAAAGATTGGCTTGGATAATGTGAATAAACATATCCTGCACTACTGCCATACACCTCAAATGGCGTGTATCCCTGACTGCCAAGATCTGTGGCTAAAGTCTCCTCACTGTCATGGCTGTCTACGACAAGGCCTAGTGCATGATACACGTCCTCGGTATCCTTCACAGACCAATAGGGCACATCGGCATCAAGTCCCTGTGAAAACTGCTGGAAATCAGGCTGTGAGTATGCCTGATCCGCCCCTGCCATAGCTAAGGTTGGCAAAACGGGCCAACCCGGCTCAACCCGACCCAACCCGCGTTCAACCCGAAAAAAACGACCCGGGTTAGGGTTGGCATATGAAGAGGAATTGTTGGATTTGGAAAATAGAGCAAAACAAAGGTAGTAAGCTAGTAGCCATAAGAAAGATGATGATTAGAACATTGTTGTTGTAGCATTTGATGAGGCAATGTTATTATTTTTTTGTGAAGATCATTGTTTGCATGTGTCAGATAACCAAGTTGAACGATTGATTGATACATGAGCTTCTTATCATGCTATTTTTACTAATGATTCCTTCACTAGGTGTAAGGTAGGAGATTTCGGAACTGTGAAGATGAGTAATATTAGTTTCTACAACATTGTAGGAATTGGTGATGTTTGCATAACATCAAACATTGGTTATACACTCGTACTAAAGGATGTACGACATATTCCTGAGTTACACCTCAACTTGATATCAGTGATTGCTTTGGACAAAAAAGGTTTTGAGAGCACTTTTAGGAATGGAATTTGGAAGCTCGCTAAGGGGTCTTGGTGGTTGCCAGAGGAGATGTCCGTTGCAATTTATACAAGGCTATAACGAAAAAATGTCCGAGCATATTGAATGCAGTAGAGGATGATTCTTCACCTGGTTTGTGGCACAAAAGATTGGGTAACATGAGTAACAAATGTCTGCAGATGTTGAAAAATAAGTCTATAATTTCCTTTGCCAAAGGTATGCATTTAAATACATATGATTTATGTGTTACTGGCAAGCATCACAGAGTCTCATTCCAAAAGTATCATGATATGAAATCTAATATATTAGACTTGGTGTATTCTAATGTTTGTGGTCCATTTGATGTTCCGTCATTAGAAGGTAATAGGTATTTTATTACTTTTTACTACGATGCTTCATGAAAGTTGTGATTATTTCATATGAAATATAAGGATCACGTGTTTCAGTATTTTCAATAATTCTATGTCATTGTAGAAAGAAAAACATGAAAGTTTCTAAAATGTATTCATATTAATAATGAAGGCGAGTATACTTCAAAAGAGTTTGAAATTTATTCTTCTAAATATGGCATCACACATGAGAAGATAGTTTATGGAACCCTTCAACGCAATGGGGTAGCAAAGAGGTACAACCGCACAATTATTGAGAAGATCACATGCTTGTTGAAGATGGCTGCATTGCCAAAATTCCTTTGGGGAAAAACTACTATCACCACATGTTATTTGATGAATAGACCTCCCTTAGCTCTGTTAGGCTTAAATATTCCATAAAAGGTATGGAAAGGGAAAGATGGTTCCAACTCTACTCTGAATGTATTTAGTTACAAGGCTTTTTCACATATTCCAAATGAGTAACAATCAAAGTTTGATGACAAGGCTATTCCTTGTATATCCCTAGGCTATGGCAATGAAGAGTTTTGCTACAAACTACGGATCCCATAAGCTATTTCTTTAACCAGAATATTGGTGGGTGTTATTAGCTTGAACATGAATAAAAGGTCCAATTTAGTGTCTTATTGCAACGTAAATTGGACAAGCCGATGAAAGTAGCCAAAAAACTTGAGAGGTGAACTACGTTTTTTGAATAGAGTCAAAACATACTTGAATTCGAATTGTGAATGCTTCTTTTTTTCAAATTGCACAACTGCAACAAGGTTTGTTGGCATTTGGATGCTTAGGATGGCTATTTTATTTTTCATTATTCTCATGAAAATGTGAAGCTGGACTGATATTCAAGATTTTTACCTCATCATTACTTACTATGGTACTGCCTTTCTTGGCTGTGAAACTACTCATAGTAGTGGTATGCAATGCAAAGTATATATTCAGCGTAAAGACGCACCCATAGGAAGGTATAGTTGAGGTGGTGAATGAATGTTGTGTTGTCTAAATGGCTCTTTGGAGTCACTGTCCTTGGCAAAGATGATGTTGTAGAATTGTTGAATCTGAGTTGCAAGGAGAGCAATTTGATTTTGCTGATCATCAAGTCTTGTTTAAAGACGCTGCATTTGAGCTTGATTATATTCTCATATTCACTAGTATGCTTTATAAATACTAAATAAAAATCATCATACATTAACTATGAGTTTTGCCACTATTTTCTACTCCTCTAGGATTTTTTTTATAATCATGTCTTGTCATTATTTATAAGTAATTAAAAGTAGTTATTATATGTCATTTAACCAACGCTCTTCGGACACCCACTATCATAGTTAAAAAGTAAAATTACACTTTATTTTCTCAAGACAAGCTCAAATTATGTTGCTTTCCCTTCTATTTCTAAATGTTACATTAATCTTTTTTTAATGTGAATAATTTTTATTTTTGATTATATTTGATTTGAAAGATTTTCATGTAGAAGGTTATAAAAGTGGAAAAAATTCTTGCATGTGTAAATTTCACCTGATTTAATCATATGCAATCTTTATGTTTACTTCTTTCCTTACAATATTAAATAGATGGAGTTGAATTAATATTTATAAGTCATGAAAAGAGAAATAGAAAGTTAATTTTTATAGTAATTTAATCATGTGTAACTTTTACGTTTGCTTCTTTCCTTACAATATTAAATAGACGAGCCCAATTTATATTTTTAAGTATTCATGAAAACAGAAATAAAAAGTTAATTTTTATAGAATAATCTCTCCTATAAAATGTTAATTTTACCGTTGCAATAACTGATTTTGAAAGAAAGTCTCATGAAAGAAAATATAATATCTCCCATTAAAAGTATAATAATACTTTAGAAAGAAAATATTTACAGGCGACCAAATACAAAGTTAATTAGATTTGGCATCAAAGAATTCTTCTTGCCGCAGTAAATAGTTGAATTTGTCATTAGAATAATAAAATTTGAAAAAAAAACACTGCTAAGAGGCGTCGCCCGGGTTCGAACCGGAGACCTTCAGTGTGTTAGACTGACGTGATAACCAACTACACCACGACACCAATTTGAAAACCCAAATCTCAAAAATGATAAATTACTTTTAGAGATACTTTTTGTTTCACTGGCAACGGTTATAACCTTTATATCCCTGTCACTACACCACGTTCACTCTCAGATCCTTTCTTTGCTTCGCTTCGGTCTCGTTGTTTCTCTCAGCGTTGAAGGTTGAAAAGATCAATACGCAAACATGTCTGCAGCACTCGATATGAGCCTCGACGACCTCATCAAGAGCAACAAAAAGTCTGGATCCGGAAACTTCAGAGGCCGCGCCCGACCCGGACCCGGACCCGCTCGCCGCTTCTCCAACCGTGCCGCCAACCGCGCCGCACCCTATGCCGCCGCTAAGGTACTTTCATTCCATCTATTTCTTTTATCTTTTATTTTAAATAAAATTTCATGGAGATTAAACCTATTTTCCGTTCGATTTGCTCCATCGTCGCTTTTAGCCGCCAGAGACTACGTGGCAGCACGATTTATATGCAGATCCGCATCTGGCTATGGCAGCTTACCCAGCTCAAGGTGGTCGTGCATCTTCCATAGAAACTGGAACCAAGCTTTACATATCTAACTTGGAGTATGGTGTTTCCAATGATGATATTAAGGTACTATCTCTTTTTTTGTATAGCTCAATGCTTGCACATGTCTTTGTTTGGCGTAACCTAGAACTTTGATCATTTAATTTAATATGAGACATGACAATTAGTAAAGCGATATTTGGTATTTTGTTAGGAATTTTGATTGTATGTTGTTAATTTGCGTAGTTTTTGCACAAAACACACGGGTTACAGTGGGGCTGTGGTGCTATCCAGTAGCCTGCCTGATGGTATGTGAGGAGTGTGTGAATGTACATTTGTGCAAGCAACATTGATCTTTAGCATAGTTGATGCATTATTATCTATGTTATCAAATAATAGCTGCGCAATGGCGCTGTAGCGGTACATAGTGCACTCTTTTTGCGAAAAACACTATGTGACCTGATGGTTTAGTGTAACGGTTGTAGTGTGCGGCCCAAAATTGCTGCCAAATCATTCCTTATAGTGAAGAAGGGGCAAGCCAAGCAAAGAATGGTTACGCTAGTTTGGAGCACTGCGGTTTCTAATATTACACTAGAGAAAACCCTAGTTCACTTCTAAAATGAAGCCATTGCTCCTTCTTCTCTGGCGTTTTCTTTTCAACTCCATCAGCTTTTCAGTTACGCTATGCAACAATTTTCAGTAATGGTTATAGGGGCTGGATTGTGGCCAATCGCAGCACTATAGTGAAGGAAGAGGAGATCTCATATTTTCCCCTGTTGTCCCATGCGCATATTAAGTAAGGGGGTATGATCGACTTTATATGCTCCCTTTTTTTCCTAATAATGTTATTGTTTGATATTGGAATCCTATCTCTCGACTCCTACATCTCTCCACTCGCTCCCTTGCCTCTGTTTTTTCTTGACCCACTCAAGTATTTTCTTTTCTGTTTTGCATCTTTCAGGCAACAGGTTTCTTTCGCTCTGTTTACTGTAGGGGCTATACTGCTACCCGTTATAGTGTTTTTAGGGCTGGTCCGCGATTGATACTCTTAAGTATTTTGGAAAAGTACTCTAATGATTTTGCATAAGAAGCATTTGACTACTAGTTGCAAAATAATCAATGAAACCTAGCAACTAATATTATTTATCACTACTAGATTTGGATACTGCAATATATATAGATGATTAATTGATACATAGATATTTGTCTGTATTGAAATGGTATAATGATCAGTTATGATAGCTAGTGATGGGGGGTGGGAAAAAAGGATGTGTCAGAGACAATTTATATGGTATGTATCCGTTTAGAAGCATTAATCTTAAATGAGATATTGACCAAATAAAACACATAAGGTAATTGATTTAATAGGTTTTAAAACCCGCCAAAAAAAGGAAATATTAGAGTAGTTTTGGTTATAGCCAACAAATAAATGATAATAAAATGAGTTAACCGTAGTAGTAATGATGTCATATTGCTCCGAAGAAAATTATTTAGCATGTGATGTAGTATTCCACAAATTACAATGACGAGTCTTCCAATCACTGTCTTGATCTGGTCCTCCATTATGTTTGCATGGATACATCCATGAATATACTGTTGGGAGTTAAATAACAATAGTCACCTAATTAAAACAAATCTTTAAATTTTTAAAATTCAATTATTGAAATAGTATTTTAAATCAATGAAATTTATTATAGTTTTTATGATATTAATAAATAAATATTCATACAATAACAATGACAATCATATGTTTTAAATCAATTATAGGATTAATGGTACCAAATGCTGCACGTGCCAGGACTCCAAAGGCTTGGTGATTCGAACAATTTTTCCAATGGATGCATGCATATTTAAAACAGACACAGTTCATTGTTCTGTTTTTTTTTGGGTTGGAAGTTCCATCTTAGGTGGGCTGGGCCTAACTGACATGGGTCGAGGTTCTTAAACCCTACTTGTTTCTTCTTCAACGTTTGAAACTTCAACTCTAGACTGGCTTTTCCTTCTTTCCACATGCAACAATGGTGAAATCCAATTCCAACAGCTCCAAAAATCCAGAGGGCATAGACCTCCTCAAATCTGACTAGCCTCTTTCGCTTCTTTGCTACACTGATTAGCTCCTTCCTTGAATGTGAAATTTACTATGGAAATGGTGGAAATTTGTATTTGACAGTATTTAGTCCCTTCCTTTATATTCCTTGAATTTTGTTAGTATTTGACAGTATTTGTATTTCAATGAATTTCTATTCCAGCCTTTATGTTTCACTTATTTTTTGAAGCTTTTATTTATGTGTATTATAACTCATAATTTAGTATGGCATTTATGTGGGCTTCACCCGTAGTGGCTATACTGCTACCTTCCATCCTGCAATAGCTCATTTTTGGCTGCGGCTGTAATGCACTGCTGTCTGAGATTGATAACTATGATTATTTTGTAGTTGTAACTTATAAATCGGCTTTATTTTGTTACTGTTACTTGTTTTAAAAAATACGAGGATGGTTGTATACTTATAGTCATGACTTCATGCTTCTAGGTAGGGTTAGGGTCAGTATTTAGTGAATTTCATTTTAAATCAATTTTATGATATTTGGTAACCTTTTTTTTTTTTTTTTGTTAAACCCATTGTACAATTAAAAATTTTCACCTTTGCAACAATATAAAAGACTACATAAAGAAGTTAATGTCTTGGTATCTGCTTCAAGGTAGTCAAAGGCAAAACGTGCTTTTAGAGCTCTAGGGGTTTTTAACGTATTGAGGCGTGAGGTGCCAAAAGGCACATGCCTTAATATTAGAAAAAGAAAAAGTGAAACATTTGACTATTTTGCCTTGATTTTCGTTTTCCATATAAATTAACTACTCAAGCATATCATTATTTATAGTAAAATTAAAAGACTTAGATGTTCAGTTTTCAAAATCATAAGCTGCTTGTTGTTAATAGCACCAAAGATTGACAACTACTTATACTTTTAACATTCTTAGTATTTTACCCCTTCTAGCATCATAGTTATGTAGTTAGATGGCTGGGATTCCGAAAACCTTTTTTATTATTTTTTTTCCTGTTACCGGTATAAGATGCTAGTGTCATGTCTCTCACTTGAACTAGAAAGGCACTCCTAACGCATCAAGAGATGCTGATCCCTTCTAGTGCCTCGCCTCAGTGTCTTAGACATGCCTTTTGGTGTTTTTGACTGGACTACTTTGCTTTTACTCTACCCAGGAACCTAATATGCTGAGTTTACTATTTTATTGAGAAAGGAAGGCAAATATTTAATTACAATTATATATTCTTATAAAACAAGAGAATATGTGGTACAGACTTACAGTTTTACAGTCAATGTTTTAAATTTTATTTTCATACTGTGCAGGAATTGTTTTCTGAAGTTGGTGACCTGAAACGGCATACCGTTCATTATGACAGGAGTGGCAGATCAAAGGTATCTTGTCCACTGGCATAATCTGGTCCTTCTGATCAATTCTTTCTGTCCTGCTGTTGTTTAGAAAAACTCTTTTTCGTAGGGTACGGCAGAAGTAGTCTTTTCGCGACGAGCTGATGCTATAGCTGCTGTAAAGAGATACAATAATGTTCAACTAGATGGCAAACCAATGAAGATAGAGATTGTGGGAACAAACATTTCCACACCTGCTGTGGCTCCTGCTGCAAATGGAGCTTTTGGGAATTCAAATGGAGTTCCTCGAAGGTATGCACTTGCTTAATGACTTTGTGCTTTAATAATCTGCTCCAATTTAATCTGATTTTTGGTGGCGTGAACCTTTCTCGCATTCTATGTTTAATTTGGATTGTCTATTTTTTGGATGTTTGAATGGTGTTTTTGGGCTTGCATATATTGCTGTGTGATTTGATTTTTTTTTTTTTAATTTGGTGCAAAACTTGATTGAGTCATGTTTTTTGATGTTATCAATTAGTTGATGACTGTTATTAGTTGTCCCTTTGTTGCAAGCTTTTTTCAATCTTCAGAATGGCTTAAAACTTTTGAAATTTGGAATTTTGAGTCAATTACTTATTGATCTTTTGACATAATGGAAGTCTCTCAACTTCTGTGATGCCTTGTTGCAAGCCTGCTCTTGAGATGACTATCCTGTCATCATGTTTGTGAAAGTGTAAAGAACCACTTCAACCCAAAACCTTGAGGTATTGAATAAAGGCTTTTTTTAATGGACACACCCCCTCACGTAAGAGCCTTTTGGGCTTGAAACGTGAATATTGCATAGGCCCAATTTTTTTTTCTTTTACCTTATGCTTACTTAATTCCGCAAGTGGGGGGCGATGAGGATTGAACTCATGACATTATGGTCACTGAAGCTCTGATACCATGTAAAGAACCATTTCAACCCAAAAAGGATGTGTTAGAGAATAATATAAATTATTAAAAAGACCCTTACCCAACGTCTTAAGGTTTTGGGTTGAAATGATTCTTTACATGATATCAGAGCTTCAGTGACCATAAGGTCACGAATTCGATCCTCACCCACCCTCCACTTGTGGAATTAAATAAGCATAAGATAAACAAAAAAAATGAGCCTATGTAATATCCACACTTCAAGCCCAAAGGGCTTTTGTGTGAGGGTGTGCGTAAGAGAATATATAAACCATTAAAAAACCTTCACCCAATATCTTAAGGTTTTGGATTGAAGTGATTTTTTACAGAAAGTGACCTGGATCCGTACTTGTCAAGATCAGCGTTTTAGCTTGTAGGACAGTACATCGTACGATCCTATGAGTTTTCCACTATGGACGAGCCAACTCGGTCAAAGGATCGTGAACGAATGGTATCACATAGGATCATCGTTCAAACTCGTAAAAACATTAAATCATGTGATTCCTTTGTCGGAGAAGAGTGTGTGAGAGAGAAAGAGAAGGGACTGGAGTGAAAGATGATGGAGCGGTAGTCGTAGGAACCCATCGGCGATGAAGAAGGAAGTGCGAGACATCGGCCATTGATGAGAGAGAGAATGCGTTCCTTATTAGAGTTCAGATCGGCGAAGAAGAGGGCAGTGGAGTCCTTCGATGGGCCACTGAAGAGAGAGAATCGGTTTCCTTACGTGTGTGTTGAAGAAAGAGAAAAGGACGGAATTGTTATTTTTGATTTTGTATGGCACAGCCACCCATTTCTTATCTCATTCCTTTTCAAATTTTTTTGTTATTTAAATTTGCAGTTTTTTATTTCCACTATTTTTCAATTATCAGATTAACATTTTTAATTTATTTATTTAAAACTATAATTTTTGGTAGTTATAAAAAATGGAATGTTAAAATATGTTTTATAATTTAATTTTTTTAATTAATACTGATTTAAGTATTACTTTTTATTTGTCATTAATTATATAAATATTTTAAATTTAATTTTATATTTTAAGTAAGATCTTACAATTCGTGCCAATTTTCCGATCCTAAGTAATATCTGAGTTTGATAACTTTGCCTAGATTAGTTAGTTGCTGCAAATGAATGTTGGTTGCTAGTTCATTCTAAGTGCAATCGTTGCCCATGGATGCAAGGAGATTGTGTTTTTTGTTTCCCATTCAAGATCTTGTAGATATTGTCCTTTTTTCATTTCTGGATCTTGGATTTAGCATTTTAATTTATTGTTAATCAATAAATAGTTTTTTTGGTTTTAATTATTGAGTTGGTTGTCTTTCTTGTATTAAAGATGATTGTATGTGTCATTGATCTGAATTGAGCAGTGGACAAGTACGAGGCGGGGCAATAGGAAGGCTGGGAGGCAGAGGGCCAGGCATTCAAAGGGGTCGAGGACGTGGAAGAGGTCGAGGTGGTGGAAGAGGTCGAGGTGGAGGTCGTGGCGAGAAGTTATCTGCAGAAGATCTTGACACTGAATTGGAGAAATATCATGCAGAGGGAATGCAATTGAACTGAAGGGATCACCCATGTTCATTTTCTTGCTATATCACATCTGTGGTTTTTAGGGGCATGGTGATGGAACACCACATGTTTATGTATCTTTGTCACAGCCTCTACCTTTAGGGAAAGGGGAAGGATTACTTCTCGAGTGAAAACTGTTAGACTTTATATATGGAGTTTGGGTTTCTGTTGTCTAATATCCGTTTTTCTTGGGTATGAATATGGATTAAGAAAGAGAAGTTATCATGTAAAAAGCACTCAAGCTTGGTTTCATTGACTTTAATCAATCAACAAGTGGAGTGATCAATTCACAAAGAAATCTTTGGTTGCAAAATGTGGGAGGCTGCAGATTTCACCTACAGCTGCCTTCTTGTTTTGGTTAAACCATCACAGTGGAATCTTCAAAGAAGGTAGACTGGAGCCTCTTCTGTCCTGTCCCCTCATAAAAAAGATGAGTCATGATCACTTTTTGTTACTAGAATGCCTTTTCCTTGTGCTGTAATTATTTGTTCTGATATATTCTAATAAGGTTTGTTATCTTGAGATGTTCGTACTTGTTATTGGGGAGCACATCTTTCATCTTTCCTGACTGACTGATAATGCTTATTATCTAGTGAGATGGAATATATATCATCTGTTCTAACTTGACTTTACCGGTTGAGTGCACTGGTCAAGATACAGACTTACAGCTGAAGATAGCATTCCCGGATAGGGATGCGGGTTAGTTTTCATCTTACAGTTTCTCGTCCTGCTGAATTCAAATTCTGTTCTGTGCCGTGAATTCATATGCACTATGACCCTGCTTTCTTCCACACTTCTCAGAACAGTCGCTGGGGTCAATGTTACGGTCTTGGTTTTACTGATTGAAATTGAAAGGGACATAGAGGGAGCTGATAGAAGTGCGCATTACTGATGCTTGTCAGAGTGGCTGTTGAAGTTAACAGGCCGTGGTGACATTATTGGGCATGATAATTCGCCCTCCCTAGCTGGGGAAAGGGTAACGTATACTTCCCTTAAACCAAGTGTAATGTTTGTCCTTTATTATGGGTTTTTTTTGATGAACTGAGTGGTCCGATTGCCAAATAATATTATATTCATTGGAGCAGTTGCGGAATAATCCATAATGTGTGGCTTGTTCTCTTTAACGTAAGGTGCAGTATCACTTTGCTCATAAGTTGTTTTTGACAGCTGACCTGAAATTGACAAGTGATTTTTTCTTTGGTTTGTATTGTGATTGTGATGCCAGTCCTTGGTGTTGCTGCAGTTGGAACTAGTGGAAGCTTTGTTTCTAACTTGTGATTTAAAATTAAAATAAAAATTAAAAAAATCTAATTCTTCCGCTCACTAGTGCTTTTGTAGCCCGAAGCCCTGCGGGTTTTTTGCCACGTAGAAGGCATCCTAGTACAGTGTGCTATCTGAAGCGAATTATTTACGTACTTTTGCTAAATGAATTGCAGTTCTTTGTTTTCAGCGTCTTTTTTTAATTCCCTAATGTGGAAACCATACTGAACATTTCTTAAATAAAAACCATAGCGAACAAAATATACATAACATTAACAAGCTTGTTTGTACACAAATAGCCCCTCGCGACAACAAAAATAATCAGAGGGTCACTGCGCTAGGCACTCACGCTGGCTGGCAAGAGATGATGCGATATTTCTATGATGTATATAAAATACTCTCAAAAGTGGGAATCTATGGTGATTTTGGCTTGGCAATCTTTTCCCACGTAGAAAATACCAGCCTCAGCAAGGAGTAAAAGATTGCCTGTATGCAAGAAATCGTAAAGTTCCAACAGGATGAGGGCCAATACCACGGATACAGCAACCTGAAGAACAAGCTTATCAGATGCCGAGGGTAACGTCCCACCTGTACCATTGTAGATCAATTACATCAATATTTACATAGCAGAAATGACTTGTTTATGCAAGTAGCTCGCTCCCAAGAGGTGTTACGCTTCTTATGAGAAGTGCTATATAATTAAAACATGGATGCTGCGTATTTAAACATGGAATTAATATTTCTAATATTATAAGAGATAATTTTATCTTTTACACACAAATAAAAATATGTGGAATTCATATATTTTTGTTCTCTCTTTTCTTTTCACGTGAGTCCACATAAGCTCTATACATTTTTATGTATGTACAGAAGATAAAATTATCTCCTACAACATGAGAAACATTAATCCATTTAAACATAATCAACTTGCCCTTTAAGAATTCAGTTCAAAAACCAAAAAGAAACAAAAAGACATCATTAGTGTTTTCCTTTATCTATTGGCAGTTTAAACAGTTTTGCAAGATTGATTAATCATATAATACCATCTGTACAAAAAATTAAAAAGCCTTCTAATCAAAGTAAATATATATATATATATATATATATATATATATATATATTTAGAGTTAACTCAACTCTAATTACCTCTTGATTAATCATACATACCATCTTTACAAAAAATTGAAAAGCCACATAATCCAAGTAAATACTCTTGTTAACAAGAATGCGCCACTTCCTTATTTATTGGTACAGTAAATTTTATTCTGACAAGGACGCAACTAAAATTAACTGGCCGTACATTATTTAGGGACAGAAAGAACAAAGCTATTGAAATTGATAATAAGTGGGCTTACTAATAAAAAAAATACTAACCGGAAAGAGCAAATCTAATGCTTCCCAGGCAGCATGACGAACAGCTCTAGTGGGATACATTGGACCACCAGGAGAAGTAAAGCTATATAGACAACTTTTCAATCGCGTACTTGTAGTCATTCTCAATTCCATGCCTGTGCCATCAGCATAAACACAAAAATGGCATAGCTAAGTCAGGTTGAGATAAGAATAGTCCAACTATTGCATCTGAATGATTGATATTGTACCCTGAAGGACCTTAATTTCTGAAAGGTAATGAAGCAGCACCGGTTCCACCTTTAACTTTAGAAGCTGACAACAAAAAAATTTCAACACTATACATTAATGGTGATATCTTCATTTCCCGACATGACTTCATATGAAAGAGGATATGGCTCTCGATTATTAAAGGGTATAATTCAAATATACCTGATCAGTGAGTTCAGTGACAAATATATCTGCTGGACTGCCAACAAAGAAAGCAGTTGGGAAAACAGGACATTGTTTCAAGAAGCTATCTATTTTGTCAGCTGCAAAGAGAAGGGTAATATATTTTAAAAGACTAGTTCATTGTCATTCATAGGCCAATCCGCTACTCCGAATGTCTACCTGAGTTGTAAAATAGAATGAATCTCGAGAGCATAAGATACATATCTCGCTGAGCCTGATCATTCAATGAAAAGTAGAGAAATTCAGAAACCATTGCTAGCAACTAATACACTAACTCAAGGGTCCCATAATAAATTGTTGGCAGCATTCATCTAATGTCATAAACTAAAACTGATAGGGTAATCAAACCTGGACAGGAATTTTATTCAATCGAGTGTGGTCTAATGCAACATCTGCCAAAAGGTACTGAACTTGAGGGGAACACAAGGAATATGCAAAAGAATTGGAAAAAGGAAGCAATAATCACAACATTATTCCGATGATACGTATCAGTACAAATAAACATAAGATTTTCCTATAGGACTCTTACACGGAATAGAGACTGGAATCGCCTTGTATTTGTTTGTATGTCAATCCTGTACATGGCACCAAAAATTATTATTGCAATATCATCCCGGATTGAATTTGAGAATGTTAACATGTCCACTGTATCATAGGAGGTTCTAGCCCATGGAGATACTCTTAATAACATTTGCCATTGTTTTGCTTTATATAGAGGGGATAGGCTGGGATGGATGCTATTGAATTGGCATGGGAAAGGCTATTGATGTTGGGCACGAACCGAATCTTAACAAGGGGAATAAAGTTTGGAGGTTATATTTCACGGGGAATAAACAGTAGAAGTTCAGTGGGTTAGATAGAGGAAATTAGGAGGTTAGGTAGTTAAATAGGGGGAAATTGTAGAGGGAATTCTAAGTGGGAGAAGGGGATACCCCTTGGAAGTTGGAAGGGGATTCTTCCTCTTGTAATCACCATTTTCAAAATATAGATATCATTCTTTCTATTTTCCGCATTCTTCCAATTCCTTTCCTATTACTGTCACTCCTAGTCAGAAAACCTATCAGTTGATAAAACCACTTAAAGCAAAAACAAAAAATCACTCAGCAGGGAGGATGGCATAAAGGACAATCCTTGTATACAACCTTATCCTTACATATTTGCAAAAAGGCTATTTTCCGAATTCGAATCCGTAATTTTTCAATCACAAAGGAGCAGTTTTACCACTTAAAGCAAAAAATAAAAAATAAAAAATTTCTTTTAAGAAAAAGAAAAATAATGGAGACCACAGACAGATATTTTATTCTTCCCATTTGAAAGGGGAATAGAGCATGAAAGGAAGTTCATATATTTTTTCCAAGCATGATATATGAAAGTCAATACAATTGTAATTCATAAATGCTAGCCAATCCAAATCCAAGCTTGGCTTTTGGAAGTTATAGTCAATTAAGTACGATTTTCATTTATAGCAGCCTGTATTCATACCAGAAAACATTTGTGGCGCCTTGAACCAGAGCAGATGAATACCGGAGGAGAACTTCGTGATCATCAAGATGAGCTTCAAATAACTGCAAAAAGATATGAAGTTATTGTGCAACGTGCAGAAAGCAACATGAAAAATGTTTTATTGATGAGTATACCACAATGTTGAGATATATAAAATCATTAATGCAGCTTTTGGGTTGAAGCTACATAATGATTTTATATATCTCAACACGCCCCCTCACACGAGAGCTCACTGGGCATGAAGGGTGGACTATGCACAGGCCCACCTACCTATGCGAAGAAATAAATTCCACTAGAAAGAAAGTGAGGGCGGTGAGGATCAAACCCGGTACACCAAGACTTTGATACCATGTAAAGAACCAATTTAACCCAAAAGCTTAAGCTTTTGGATGAGGCTACATTAATGATTTTATATATCTCAACATTATATAACTGCAATTCTTAGGTCTTTTAAGAATAACAAAGCCACAAATCATTTCACTTGTATTGAATAAATATTTATTCCATATATTTGAAATAGGGAAAAATGTTTGTCATTTTCAATGACATAAAGTTATGTCATTTTAAGAGAGAGATAGATACAGAATAAATTTTTTTATTTAAATTTTAAATTAAAAAAAAATCACCCACTTTCTCTCTCCCATGATTTCCATTTTCTGTGTCTATCTCTCTCCTAAAATAAGATAACTTATCTCATTTAAAATGAGAAACACCAAGCCCATTTGAAATAACATGTATTGGGTTCCTGAATATTAAATCTGAAACCTGCTCCAAAACCCATTAAGGATTTGACAAACAGGTTCTATCAACAGCTCACAAGACAAAGAAATTTGGGACTAATATAAGGGAAAGCATTAGCTTTAGAAACCATTGAAAAAGATTATAAGTACTAAATAGCATTTCAAGATTTAAATAAACAAGAAGAGCTCCCAGGTATAGATGCTATCCCTTTTAAAGATAATAAAATGTAATTGGCAGTAAAAAAATCTGCATAATCATTATTGTTAGTAATTAATGTTGAATCTGCACTTATATTTTTATGGGTAATTCTAAATCCTCATAACCAGTCCTACCAATCACCAAGTGAAGAAAGTACCTAACGCTTTTTATGTTCCCAAGATATTGTATGCATCTATTTTTTCATTAAATACATTCTTCGTTGAGTACTAGGAGGATATAGCAAATCTCTTATACTACTCAAGGATATAACAAATCTCTTATACTACTCAAAGAATTCTGAGGAAGACGAGAGAGAAAGGAGAGAGACAGATTGAATATTTCATATCATTGTTACCTGAGAGAGAACAGTACATGAGAGCTCTTTAAAGAGAAAATAATACAGTCAAGTCATCCTATTCTGTTGTAACAATATTCAGTTAACTGAACTGAATAATGAAACTAAGCCACTTGGCTATTTACAGAAATAACCCTATGGACAAGTGCAGTATATTAAGTACAGTTTATTTATTCTACACTAATATGCCCCCACAAACTCAGGGTGGATGGAAATGAGCATGAGAGTGAGTTTGTCCCGTAAGATAGCAAAGCGCGAGGCAGAGAGACTCTTGGTGACAGTATTAGAAACTTGATCCAAAGCTGGTTGTATGTCTTTCGCAATAACATGCTCTCTGACGAAGAAGATATCTAGCTCCATAAGCTTTGTACGGGCATGCAAAACAGGATTGTGAGAAAGAGAGACAGTGCTCAAGTTATCACAGAGAATGAGGGGGGTACTGAACTAAACTTAAAGCTCAAGAAGAAGAGATCTAAGCCAAAGAACTTCAGCTGTAGCTAGAGCAAGACTGCGATATTCGGCTTCAGTGCTAGATCGAGCCACCAGATTTTGTTTCTTGGAACACTAAGAGACTAGGTTGGAGCCAAAAAACACAGGCTCTGAGGTAGACCTATGATCATCCGGATCATTAGCCCAATCAACAAACATCACAAAAGGCTGTGATAGAAAAAAGGTGACTGGGATTGCAGGGTTTCGTCAACATTCCATGATGTTGAGTACCATTAAAATAACACAAGATTCTTTTGACAGCAGCCCAATGTTTTTCAAGTGGCTGAGCCATGAACTGGCAGGCTTTATTAAAAGCATAGCTGATCTCAGGCCTAGTGAGAGTAACATATTGTAAAGCTCCCACAATGGAGCAATAGAAGGAAGGGTTTGAATAATAACTGGACCTAAATTTTGAGAGCTTGCAACCAGATTGAAGGGGAGTGGAGATGCCTTTTGCCTAGGCCATATTGGCTTTGAGAAGTAAGTCCCTGATGTATTTTTGATGAAATATAAGACTGAAATGTATTTTTCATATATTGATTGACACCCAAAGGGATCTTTATATACAGATTACAAGGTAGTTAAGGAGTTGAAGTAATAAATAAAATACACAGTAACCGAAGAGGCATCACACTACTCAAAGGAACAAGTAGCTAGAAACAAGTAGAAAACTCTAGAATATTCTACACTCCCCCTCAAGTTGGGAGATGTATATTGATCATCCCCAACTTGCTAATTAAATCCTCAAAGATGGGTTTGTGTAATCCTTTGGTGAGAATGTCGGCTGTTTGCTCCTTGGTAGGCATATATGACAAACATACACTACCCTCCTCCAATTTTTCTTTGATAAAATGACGATCAACCTCCACATGTTTGGTTCTGTCATGATGTACATGATTTTGAGCAATACTGACTGCAGCCTTATTATCACAATAGAGTCTCACAGGTAGAGAATAAGATATCTTTAATTCTCCAAGGAGCCTTCTTAACCAGATTCCTTCACAAATGCCATGGGCTAGCGCCCGAAATTCTGCTTCTGCACTGCTTCTGGCAACAACAGTTTGTTTCTTACTTCTCCAGGTCACAAGATTTCCCCAGACATAGGTACAATATCCTGAAGTGGATCTTCGGTCCATAGCAGAGCCAGCCCAATCAGCATCTGTATAGATTTCTATCATCCTCTCGTGTCCCCTTTTAAAGAGCATTCCTCGACCAGGGGTGTTTTTGAGGTACTTGAGGATTCTATAAACAGCACTAAGGTGTTTTTCCTTAGGAGAATGCATGAATTGGCTAACCATGCTAACCGCAAATGTAATATCAGGCCGAGTGTGAGATAAGTAGATCAGCTTCCCTACCAACCTTTGGTATTGCTCCCTGTCAACATCTTTTCCATCTTCAATTCCCAATTTAATATTGGGTTCAACTGGAGTTTCTGCAGGCTTGCACCCAAGCATACCTGTTTCTTGCAGCAGGTCTAGAATATATTTCTTCTGAGATAAGGAAATTCCCGCCTTGCTACGAGCAACTTCCATTCCAAGGAAATATTTGAGAGATCCAAGATCCTTTAGTTCAAACTGACTAGCTAAACCCCCTTTTAAAGATTTTATTTCTTCCCAGTCATCACCTGTGACAATTATGTTGTCAACATAAACAATGAGGATAGCAATTTTGCCACTATCGGAGTGTTTAAAAAATAAAGTGTGATCAGTCTGAGCTTGGATAAATCCTCTTTCTTTAACAACACGAGTAAACTTTTCAAACCACTCTCTAGGGGATTATTTAAGTCCATAAAGAGATTTCTTCAACATGCATACAGAACCATCTCCCTGTTCAAAACCAGGTGGTGGATCCATGTAAACTTCCTCATGTAAGTCCCCATTTAAGAAAGCGTTCTTTACGTCCAATTGATGCAAGGGCCAATCAAGGTTGGCAGCAAGTGATAGTAAGACTCGGATAGAGTTAAGTTTGGCAACGGGAGCGAACGTCTCCTGATAGTCTATCCCATAAGTCTGAGTAAATCCTTTGGCAACCAATCTGGCCTTATATTTGTTGATGCTGTTATCTGCATTAAATTTTATTGTGAACACCCATTTGCAACCTACAGTTTTTTTTCCTCTGGGAAGTGCCACTGACTCCCAAGTTCCATTTTTTTTAAGAGCATCCATTTCTTCAAAGACTGCATCCCTCCATTTAGGGTCATTAAGTGCCTCTTGGATATTTTTTGGTATTTTTGTACCGTCTAATATAGTGTTGAAAGCACGAAAACCTGGAGATAACTTTTCATATGAAATGTGATGAGAAATAGGATGAGCAGTGCAAGATCTAGTACCTTTTCGAAGGGCAATGGGCACATCTAGGTCAGCTGTACCAGTGTTCTCAAGTGGATTGCTGGAACTAGGACTCGGGTCAGAATCCTGGCAGTCTAGAGGATCTTGAGGAGATTTTCGCCTGCTGTAGAATTTTCCCCATTTACCGGGAGGATCTCCAGTCTCTGGTACAATTGCTGTCCTTGTCTCCTGTACATTAACTCCCCCTGACTCCAAAGGTAAAGAAACAACAGATGTTTCCAAGGGTAAAGGTAAGACAGTAGAATTATTTGGATTCCAAGACTTGTCTTCATTTATACCAATAGACTCCCCCTGAAGAGAAGTCGAGGGAAAAAATGATTGTGTTTCACAAAAAGTAACATTCATAGAAACAAAGACCTTTCGAAGAGAAGGTGAGTAGCACTTGTAACCTTTTTGATTAGGAGGATATCCTATGAAAACACATTTAACAGACTTATGATCAAGTTTGGACCTTTGATGTGGAGGAATATGAACAAAAACCACGCAGCCAAACAACTTTGGAGGAAGGGAAGAGAGAGCCCGAAAGGAAGGAAAAGAGCGGGTAAGGCAAGATATGGGAGAATGAAAATTCAGGACGCGAGAGGGCATCCGATTGATGAGATATGAGGCAGTCAAGACAGCCTCCCCCCACAGGTATTTAGGGACATGCATTGTAGACAAGAGGGCTCTAGCAACTTCAATTAGATGTCTATTTTTCCTTTCAGCCACCCCATTTTGTTGAGGGGTGTTAGGACAAGAACTTTGATGGATAATACCTTGCTTGGTTAGGTAATCACCAAGAACAGAATTAAAATATTCAGTACCGTTGTCAGTTCGCAGGATTTGGATAGAGGTCTGGAATTGAGTTTGTACCATAGCATGAAAATTTTTAAAAGTGGCTGCAACTTCAGACTTATCTTTTAGAAGATATACCCAGCATACTCTAGAATGA